GCATGTTCTTTTTACGGGAAGCTTTGTCTCAGTTGGAGTCTCTGCTTGTGTAGTTTTATTGATTACAATACTGGCCTAGTGCTGATGTGATGGTAGTGATACATTTGACAGTTTTGCACCAGATGTCTAATATTTCTGAAGCTATTAAGATAGTTCAGAGTGGGTTTTGGGAGAAATCCTGAAGCACAGGAATCCCACGTGGTAATGCTGTTTAATTTTAGCTGACTAGAAGGTTGTTTCTTTCCTGTTTGCAGGCCTAGGTGAATAATTTTCCCTAACCTTTTCCCTAACCTCTCTGCCGTTAAGTTAACTAGACAGTTAATTCTTAAATTCATGGTGAATAAGTGGTTGAAAACAAAGAAAAGTGCAGATAAAACCACATTTGTATATTGGAAAGCATTAAGTAGTATAATTTCAGCACTCACTACAGAGCTCTGCCTGTACTTTCATCTAAGTATGTAGCAGGTTAGGAGCTGTCAGAATAACACTGTAAATATTGTAAGCAAACCCTTAAATATTTTGATTGTTGGCCACCTAACTATCGGAGAGTGGAGTATGAACTCACTAATAGGCAAATGCAGCCAGTTCTAAATGTGTTTTAAGAAATACCACTCTTGGACCATAATTGAGTATATTTTGTGTTTGGTAGCTATTTGAAGTGTAAAACTCGTCTTAGCTACTGAAGAAGAAATATTTTGAAATTTCATATTGATACAGTGATCAGTGTTCTGCCTTAGTATTGTTCTACCCTTCTTTATCTGTAGGGTTGGCTTATAGAATCACAGACTTAACTAGTTTGGAAAAGAACTTTTAGATAATCAAGTCCAGCCTATGAGCTAACACCACCTTGTCAACTAGATCATGGCACTGAGTGCTACATCCAGTCTTTGCTTAAGCACCTCCAAGGGACGGTGACTACACAGCTTCTCGGGCAACCCATTCTAATGCCCAATCACTCTTTTTGTGCAGAACGTCTTCCTAATGTCCTCTTTTACCTCCTAAACCTAAACCTCCTCCAGTGCATCTTAAGACTGCCCTTGTTTCCTGGAAGAAGAGACTGACCCCCACCTGGCTACAACCTCCTTTGGGGCAGTTGTAAAGAGTAATAAGGTCTCCCCTCAGCCTCCTTTTCTCCAGGCTAAACAACTCCAGCTGTCTCCRCCACTCTTCACAGGACTTGTAKTCCAGACCCTTCACCAGCCTCATTGCCATTCTCTGGACACGCTCCAGCATCTCAACATCCTTCCTAAATAGAGGGGGCCCTGAACTGGACACAGTACTCAAGATGTGGCCTAACCAATGCTGAGTACAGGGCAAGAATCACTTCCATAGTCCTGCTGGCCACACCACTCTGGATAGAGGCCAGGATGCCATTGGCCTTCTTGGCCATGTGAGCACACTGCTGGCTCACGTTAAGTCTGCCATTGGTCAGAACCCCCAGGTCCCTTTCTGCCAGGTCACTGTCCAGCCACTCTGTCCCCAGCCTGTAGTGCTGCAGGGGGTTGTTGTGGCCAAAGTGCAGGACCTGGCACTTGGTCTATTAAGCCTTTTATMGTTTGATTCAGTTAATCTATCCGTCTTYTCCAGGTCCCTCTGCAGAGCCCTTCTCCCTCCAGCAGATTGACACTTGCACCCAACTTGGTGTCATCTGCTGGGCCCAGCACAGATTCCTTCAGGGACTGGTGACTGGCCACCAACTGGAGGCAGTACCATTCACCAGCACTCTCTGGGCCCAGCCATTCAGCCAGTTCTTAACCCAGTGAAGGGTGCACCTGTCCAAGCTGTGAGCTACCAGCTTTTCCAGGATTATTTTATGGGACACAGTGTCGAAGGCTTTACTAAATCTAGATAGACAACATCCACAGCCTTCCCTGCATCCACCAGGTCACATGGTCATAAAAGGAGATCAGGTTGGTCTGCAGGACCTGCCCTTTCTCAATCCTTGCTGGCTGGGTCTGATCCCTTGGCTGTCCCTGTAGGTGCTGTGTGGTCACATTCAAGATGACCTGTTTCGTAACAGTGCTGGGCACCATGGTCAGCCTGACAGACCTTGTAGTTTCCTGGACTCTCCCTTCAGCCTTTCATATGGATGGGCATCACACTGGCCAGCTTCCAGTCTTCTGGGACCTCCCCAGTTAGCCAGACTGATGGTAAATGATGAAGAGTGGCTTGGTGAGCTCTTCTGCCCTCTCGTTGATAACCCTAGGATGGATCCCATCTGGTCCCACAGGTTTGTGAAGAGGTCACTAACTGCTTGCTGCTGGACTACAGCGGGGGCTATTCTGCTCCCTGTCCCTTGTCTATAGCTCAGGGGGTCTGTTGTCCTGAGGATGACCTTTCTTGTTGTTGAAAATTGAGGAAAAGAAGGCTCTTGCCTTCTGTGCTTACCTTTACTCGAACAACAGGAGGGCAAAGTGAGATGAATTAGAGATGTTCTTGCATGTGCTCCTGCATCAGTGAAACTAAACAGAATTTTTAATTGCATTCTACTATTTGTGTAAACTTTTAATTATGATGAAGACACTGGAGTTGTATGTTAGCAAACTCAAGCAGTACTGCATCAACTTCCTTTATCTCAAAATCATAACTGTAATATAAATTGGCATATTTTAGGCAATACATATTTTGGATCTTCTTACCTTGCTAAAACAGAGTTGCATTCCCTATCAGTCTACCAGGTAGTTTGAGTGAATTTTTGAAATGAACTTGTACCATTGTGTAAGCTCTTTGTCATCTTACCCATATGTTTTGGATCTTATAATTAAAGTTTTGTGAAATAATTTTTGTCTGATCCTCCTGAACTTGGCTGCACTAACATGATCATGGACTTCTGGGGATGTCTGAAAATCTGGCAATTCATAGATGCTGAGCAAACTGACAGCCCAGCTTTTTGGGGGGAATGAGCTTGTTAGGGATCACAGAGGAATTCTTTTTAATGCAAACTTTTAGTGTACTGACTAATGCAATTATGATTAAGCTACATAATGCTATGTTGAAATGTCACAGCTTAATATTTTGAGAAACAAGCATTAGCATGTTGTTACTGTTAAGAGATAATTTAAATTGTTGGTGATTCCTGAAGTTCTTGATGATCATGTTAAAAGTGACTTAACTAAGCTAAAGCTAATGTATGTTACACATTGAGAATGTTCTTAATCTTTTGGTTAATAATATTTGTCTAATCATTTATCAGTGCTTTGCAAACTGTATTTCTTCTTCATAACTGGTTTTCTCCAAACATGCACAGTAATTTTTGTCTTAAATAATTTTATTTGTGAATTTGTGTGCTTCTAATTCATAAGGCCATCAGGCTTGCTTGTAGTATTGCTGCTGTATGTTTGTACACTTGTGTATACATAGTATATGCCATTTCTTTTTTTGGTATATGGCTTTTCAAGAGGAGTAAGAACTTCTGTGACCATCAATACTTGAAGATTTTATGGAGCCATTACCACTTGTCAGTTTCCTTTTTTTTTTGTCATCTGAAAGCTCAGAGGAGGGAAAAAACTTACTTGGGTGTTACACATCTGAGTATATATATATATATATATATATACACACATACACACACACATATATACATGTATACTTACTAATATAGATACACACATGTGTATATATATGCATATAGACTTATGTATACATATATACATATATACAAATATATAAATATCAGGAGCTTTAACACAGATTACTCTTAAGAATTTCACTTCTAACAAGCTGAGAGAGGATTAGTCTCACCAAACTCAATGTGTGGTTGCTACCATACTGATGCACAGGGCAAATGTGTTGAGGCTCCAGGACAGTGAAGAAGATTGAGAGCAGGAGGAGTGTGACCATCTTTTTTATTAGCAGCTCATCTTTGTAGTAACTTAAAAGTGAGAAGTTTCAGGTGTGTTTGTTGGATGTAATTAGTTATTGGCAATTCTGAGGCTATTTATTGTGTATGGCTGTCACTGAACATTTACCACTTCTTACATTTTCTGAAAGKGTTTTGCAAATGTAAGTTGAAAGTCATGTAGCATTTCAGATCTTACCTGTCAAAATATTTTTCTCTCTCAGTTTGAATTTATGTAATTACTGCACTAGAGTCAATGTAATCGTCACCAAAAAAAGTAAATTAAACTTCTAACTTCTGTTAGTATTTAGTTCCTAAAAGTACTGTTTAGTAACTTGATAGAGGGGTCTGTCTCATTATTTCAGAACAATTTTGTTTTATTTAGTGTTTTGGTTCAGTCAGCAGTCAAATCTCAACCTATAAGGAACTTCAATTTTATGTATGTGAGTATGATCATGAGAGAAATATTTTTCTGAACTCAGTTACAGCATCCTAAAAACAGTAAATTGGTTTACTTTACATGTGTATATCCAGTTTGATTCAAAATTCCAGTTTCCTTCTCTTAATTTTTTCACCTCTGGGTATTTAAATCTCTTCTTAGATACTGACTTGATAAAATGGTTAATTTAACTTGTGGTATTTTTACAAAATAGTCTGCTATAGTTTAAAAAAATGTAAGGATTTTTTTTAAATGTTGATATAATTCTAGTGTATAAGATGTATATAGATCATAAATAGTCAAAAGCAGGCATTTTATATTGTATATAACTGAAATATTGATAGAATTTTTAGAATAATTTAGAATAATAACTGAGAGCAAATAGGGCTCAGTGGTATATGAAGACAGTTGATCCACAGAAGTTTAAAAACATTACATTGTAAGTGCCTGAAACATAGTCTTCATCTTGACCTAAACTAGTATCTGTCTTTTAAATTGCATGCTTCTTTAATTCCAAATGATCAAAACTGTATTTTGACTGTTCTGAAATGATCTAGGACATATTTTCTGGTTATGTCCCCCCTTTATCAATATCAGTTATCTCATAAACTGCTGTATTGTTTTATTATGTTTTTAATAGCATGGAAAAATGGAGTAAAATTTTGCAATGTTCGTTACTGCTTGATTTATTTTAATTTTCCTCCTTTTTGCATTGAATGACAGCTGTTAGCCGGAATGATAGCAGAACCTGCTTTTCTCTCTGAGTATACTATCTTTGCTTTGGATCCCACCAAACAACCTAAGCCACAGAGTGACAGTGTGGTGAGTCCTCCCCACCCGTCTTAGTGATGCCTTTAGCAGGTGGAGGAGAGTAATGTTCTAGAAGTCAAAACTTGGTTGCTTGTGGCTTGTTCTCACAAAGACCTCTGTCTTAACTACTTAGTTGCTAACCCTGCACTAAATTTCACAGACGTAGTACCTGATGGGTCTTGGCTGCTGTGCTGTATGATGTGAATTTATTGTAACATTAAAAAAATTAACATATATTCTCTTATACAGGTAACATATTCTACACAGCTTTTAAATAACTGTTGCACAAGTTTTTTGTTTGTTGCATGGAAATTTCCTCTTCATATTTGTGTGTGTTTGTATGTATTTCATGATAAATGGATAGAATTAACATTGAAATTGGTTATGTGTAAAACTTAAATGTTTTTTGCTGTGTGCAGTGGAATGTAGCACATCATTTACTACTAATTACAGGTAGCTGGAAGTAATTATTTCACATAGATACAGCAATTAATCTATGTCTAGTTGGTAATCCTGCAGTTATTATTGTGAGGATGAATAGRTATTTTTTTAATAATTAGATTTGACTTTAAATATATGTTTCTTTGCCTGAAAATGTCGTCTTCACCGAATATATGTAGAGAAGCTTGGTGAGAAAAGGCAAGAAGTGAAAAAAAAAAAGCAGGCATAGGAGGAAAGTCAGACTTCCGCTTTCTGATATAGGCACATACAAAGCTGTGTCATTATTGGCAAAGGACTGGAATGGCATTTTTCATATGCTTCAGAGGCATGGCATTCCTGAGTCCATAGTGATTCAAAGCACAATATTTTTAGAATCCCAGCTCATCGTGATACTTAATGATTACTTTTCCTGTTTTGTAGGTGCTCTTTTGCTACTCATGGCTTAAAATGACCAGTCACTGAAAGCTATAACAGGATTGAAATTTAATAAGCAGGATATAACACAACACACCTTGTTGTGTTCGACTTGACTCTCTCAGGCTAAGCAAGATTGGACTGAAACAGTTTTAAAGTGGTGATCCATGGAAAGTCTTCATTTGTTGCAAATGGTTATGCTTGTTCACAGCATTCACCTAAAGCAGAGGTTCATTACTACTTCAATCACAGTGTTAACAGGATTGAACTTTTTGRTGGACACCAAACAGGATATGCTGAAATCTGTAGTCTTGCAACAGTTACTGATTTTTTTTTCCTCAGTTCTAGGTATTCTGACGATATTCCAGGTCCAGCAATCACTACTTTAAAATTCGCTGCAAATTTAATTAAGCTTTTTCAGTTTTCACTACAGAACAGTTATCTCCAAAAAAATTTCATTTCAAATAACCTGTTTGTGTGAATGCTCACATGTTGTCTTTATATGATCTTTTAGTATGTACTTTAATGGCATATTTACTGGCTTGCATATTTATATTTGAGAGTGCATACATGCAAATAATTATAGTGTAACAGTTATTATTAATGTGTTGCCAGTGTGTATTAATAATATGTTAGCTGTAAAACACATTTTGTTCTCCAAACTTTTTGAAAATTCTAGAGCAGTATTCACAGTAAAAATTGGGAGGGGGAGAAGACGATGGAAAATTTAATAAAGAATAGGATGATTCATTTAAAAAAATGTATTAAAGAAATCCCCATATTATATATGTCTAGAAAGCCTAGGTACACTAAAAATTCAGGAGAGGAAAGTTTCATCAACACACACAAATGTATATTAATTCTGCTGAAACAAACCAATAATTTATCTGTATATATGATCTGAGAGTGAACAGCATAGAGAAGTGACTACAATTGTGGATGTTTTTTGCATAGATGAAGTTAGTATAAAACTTCTTTACTAACTAAGCTGCATAGGTTTTGTTGCATGAAGAAACAGTTCAAAATATTCTTGGACACAGTGGGGTTTTTTTAAAAAAAAAAAAAAGAAAATAAGGGAAGACAACATATATTAAGCTATTCTTCCTTTCTCTCCCTAATTACTTGTTTTTGGACTMCCTGAGCAACCTAGTGCAATGCCCAGTCACTCTTTTTTGTGAAGTCTTGGTAAAGTATTMGTCTTTCTCTATTGTCAGTCTATAGTAACACAGCAGAAGCTTAGTAATTTATAAAACAGAAGATTTTTTTTATTTGAGTTATTTCATTATCTTTTCCAGTTAGGAAAAAAAATAAACAGGTAATGGAGCCAAGAATAAAATGTAGAAGTGCTTTAGTTTAAAACTTGTAAGAACTGTTAATCCACTAAGAGAAAATCCATTGCCACAGGATAGTGTTCTGAAGCAGAATGCAGATTTCATTCAAGCCAGGTGAAGCACAGTTTCCGAATCCAGATTTTTCGATGGCTGTTTATTGCTAATTTTATTTTGTCTACATCTGTGTAACTGCTCAGTTCTCTGGTAGCCTTGACTATCTGGATTTCTCTTTGTTCTCTGGTATTTCTCTACTACCTCAGATTTGCTCCGTGTCAGACCTTTTTGAACCCTTTTACAGTGAATCATTCCTCTGCTACATTAATGTTTAGGTATGCTTATCTGCATATCCAGAGTAGAAGCTGTGAGTGTGATTACGTAGGAAATACGTACAAGGGTGCTAATGATTGGCATTTCTGTTCTATGTACATATTAGATTTTTCAGTTTGCATATAACTGTTAGGGTACAGCTTGATTAAAAGTTAAGAGTTACACTACTCTTAGGTGAATTTACCCATATTTTGTTTGATATGCCTCAGTGTTTCACTTCTTTTGTGAAAAAGTGTCCAAAATGGTTTCTAGCATGTTCTGCTAATTCAGTTGGATTGGATTTAAACAGCAAAAAATACCTGGACTTGTATAAGTTAGAATCGTAGAATATCCTGAGTTGGAAGTGACCCACAAAATTTACCAAAGTCCAACTCCTGGTCTTGCAYAGTGCAGCTCGAAGAATCACACTGTATTCTTGAGAGTGTTGTCCAAGCACTTCTTGAACTCAGACAGGCTTGGTGCTGTGACCACTTACCTGGRGAGCATGTTCCAATGCCCTCCTCATAAAGCTTTTCCCCTCGAGGCCCTTCATCATCTTTATGGCCCTTCTTTGGATGCTCCCTAATAGCTTTGTATCTTTCTTATATTGTGGCACCCAAAATGGCTTACAGGACTTGAGGTGAGGCCACCCCAGTGCAGAGCAGAGTGGGACAATCCCCTCTCTTGCCCAGCTGGYGATGCTGTGCCTGATGCACCTCAGGACATAGTTGGCCCTCCTGGCTCTGCTTGGGCATTGCAGATACACATTCAACTTTCCATTGACCAGGACCCTCAGGCCCCCTTCTGTGATGCTGCTGTCCAGCATCTTGTTCTCCAGTCTGTTCATATATCCAGAGTTGTCCCATCCCAAATGCAGAATCTGGCACTTGTCTTCAATCAACTTCATTTGGCTGCTGATTGCCCAGCCCTCTATTTGCTGAGGTCTGTTGCAGGGCCTCTCTGCCTTCAAGGGAGTTTACAGCTCCTCCCAATTTGGTATCACTGTCAAACTTAATGTACCTTCAAATTCGTTCAAGTAATTTATGAAGATGTTGAATAGCACAGGTCTGAGGATGGAACCCTGTGGAACCCCGCTAGTGACAGGTCATCAGTCTGATGTCACCCCATCCACTGTAACGCTTTGTGCCCAACCCATGAGCCAGTTGCTCACCTACTGCATGATGTGTTTATCCAGCTGTGGCTTGGACTTTTTGTTCAGAAGGATCCTGTGAGAGACAGTATCAAAAATTACTGAAATCCAAAATCCAAGTACTGAAATCCAAGTGGCTTCCCTTGGTCAGCTTGGTGGGTAATCTTGTCATAAAAGGAAATAAGATTTCGTAAGCAAGACTGTCTGCTTGTGAACCCATACTGGCTGTGACCAATGACTGGACTGTCTTGCAGTTTTTCAAAAACTCCCAGAAAAATCTTCTTCATAATATTACCAATCACTGAAGTGAGATGCTGTAGTTTCCAGGGTCGTCCTTCTTGAAAATTAGAACTGGGTTAACAAACACCTGAACACAGGACACAATAAAAGCGGGATAGACAGGCTAGGCTAGGAAATGTCTAAACTCTGTAAAAAAAAAAAACCCAAACCAATTAAAAAAAAAAAAACCTAAGCCCCAAAACAAACAAACCAACCAACTCAGGACTATTGTTTTCTGTTACATTTTTTTGTTATTTGGGGTGAGTTTTTTTTAATGTGTGTGTATTTTGTTTTTCTTTCTTTGGGAATGCAGAAGTTTTGCACAGGATGCTTTTTCTGAAAGTCTGATTTTCTTCCTGTGCTTGTTCAGAGTTTTAAACAGCTTATTACCAGCTAGGTATCTCTTTGCCAGGTAGTTTCTTCCCCCGAGTGCACTTGAACAGAGAGAGATGGTGTTACAGCCAACTCTTACTCATATTGGTTGTAAATACTAGTCATCAATTAGATTTTTCCTSCTATAATTTTGTCTTTTTGTTATTTCTTTGACTTGTGCATAAATGTTATGTAAATAATGATTATGTATTACTTAATTGGAGATGTCAGCATTTGTAGATGTCTCATACTAATCCATGTACACATAGGTGCTTTGTAGTTCTGTATATTGCAGCAATCTGTTCTGAATTTAAAAAACTAGCTTGTTTGCRTGAAGACATCTTAATAAACATTCTAAAGAACGCACTAAAAACACAGGCAAAGCAAAAAGCACAAATGCTGTTTGTAGGCATCAGTGAATTACAGTCCTTGTAGTCTGTTTCTTATAATGGTTGTTTTTACATCCTTTAGAATTTAACTAAACAACCACTTCCTGGATCCACAGAAAACAATGAATATGAACCTGTCTCCCCACAGGTATGTGGGGTTTGTTTTCTCTTTCATTTCTGTGTTGTCTTTGTGTTACATTGTCTTAAGTGCCCAGGATGCTGAAGTAAGGATGATACATACTTGCCTGTCAGGACGCTCGGGTATTTTGTTTGTGGACACTCCAATTCCATTAGCTGGTATTGTCACTGATGTGTGGATCTTTTTTTTTTTTTTTTTTTCAGGACAGATTAGCAGTCTGCCATCATTGAGATGCATTTTGTTRCATAGCCATCACAGGATACAGAGCATTAAAAAATAGAGGGCATATTGTGTGTCTGAAAGGCTACCTTCTAGCTGAAGGAAAGAACGGATAAGCATAAAAGTATTGTCACTAGTGATAAAGATGTAGGTCATTCTTGAAGAGGTCTCAAAGAAACATGTAGCTTGCTGAACTGGGATTAGCAGTGGCTTCTGGCACATGCCTCCCAACATTTGATTGTAGAGTCAACATGGTTCAGTAATGCTTTCATATCACTTCTGTAGCACCAGCAGTGTAGGTTACAATAGCACAGAATCTTCTGGTATTGAATTAAGTACTGTAGCTGCATAAATCAGTAGTTTTCTTTTATGTAAAAATCATAAAACCATTTAAAATAAGAAAAGGGCTGTTGAAAATGGTTTACTAGAGCTATTTGTACAAGGACTTCTACAATAAATGTGTTCTCTTCAAAGACAGAAAGGAAAGTATCTGTCTTTGAGATAAGTAGTCTTCTGTGTAATACATCAAGAAGTGAGTCAGTTATATTTTTCAAGTTTGAGATGATAGTAAGTAATCATTTATATTAGTTACACATTCTTCACTTTTTAGAGGGATTACACAGAAATGTAWTCTTCTAAAAGTTTAAGTCAGAGCTGAGTTTGTTATATTTAGTTACTATCAGAAATTGCACAAATCTGGTAGTTGCATGCTTGGTTTTTCTGCACAAGAAGATGATTCTTTTAAGGGAGTGGCAGCTGTTTGGTGTCATGTATATGTTAGGCAACAGTAATTTCTTTGCACAGGTGACTTTGCTTGGCTTTAGTGTGTCTGACTGCTTAAAAGCAGTGCAGAAATAATTCCTTGCTTTGAATTTTTGCAGCGAAGTGACAGTCATTCTTTTGCCCAGAGGCTTCAGCTTCGAGTTCCCTCCGTGGAGTCTTTGTTTCGAATCCCTGTAAAAGAGACCCTATTCTCCTCTTCTTCTAAGGAGTCCCTAGTACGAAGTTCTTCAAGAGACTCACTGAATCGACTAGACTTGGAAGCCCTCAGTCCCACCTTTGATCCACCTTCTGACATAGAGAGTGAAACAGAAGAGCCTCTGGGAAATGTGGACAGCTTCAGCAAAGAGCAGTTGCTGCAGCGTCTGCGTAGAATGGAGCGCAGTTTGGGCAACTATAGGGGAAAATACTCAGAGGTAAGCAGTGTGACTGGTTTAGCTAGGCAGAAAGGGGAAAGAGATTAAGCTAACAGATACTGCAGCAGTGGACAATATTTTTGTTTTCCTATTTGGAGCAAATGTTTCAAACTAAACCAACGTGGAAGTTTAATTATTCTAAATGTAGTTATTTTCGACCTAGATAGGTCAAATGTTTTTCTGATAATAAAACATGGAATTCCTCCTCTTCTCTTGTTTGTAAATAATTTCCTGATGTCAGCAGTAGAGGATAATTAGTGGTTATTCTCACAGAGCAGGCCTATTAAGATTTCAGTTGAAGGCGTCTAGCAGGGGGTGGTGTTCACTACAGAGGTGAGCATGATTTGTACTCCCATGACTACAAATTTTGTTTTTTTCTGAAACTTGTTCTTGAAATACGTAGTGTATATTCTATCCATGTGCAATAGGCATACATTTTGTTTTCTGTTCTTCATAATTTCCAGTTGTTCCCTGGAAGGAATTCATCCAAACACCTTTTCTTTTTTTAAAAGTTTGTTGAAAACCAATTATATAAGTAGTTTCACTACTAATTTTCCAAATAACTGGGGAAAGCAAAGCTGTCTGAGTGATGGTGCTGTTTGGTATTGGGTTTTTCAATAAGTTTTGTTTTTTTGATTTTTTTTTTTTTACTGTTTTTGAAGTGTGTGTTTTCTTTAAAAAACTGATTCTTTGCACTGTTTTTTATAGTTCTTTTAATGTTTGCTGCCCTCAAATACAAAATTTCCTGTGCAGACTTTTGTCTTCTGTTGTTGAAATCCCTGGAATCTAAAATATCTAATCTAAAATACAGTGACTGCAGTGCTCAGCATATGCCTGAAAAAGTAGCTGTTTCCCAGTAATTTTTCCTTCACTTCCAGCTAGTGTAATAAGTATTTTTTAAAGGTTATATAAATAATAGTTGCTAAAATAAAAATTCTTCAATTTGTGTGTTTGTTTTGGTGCTTTCTTGCTGGTTTGGTGKTTTTTTTTTTTTAATTAGTGTAGTCTGTCCAGCAAGTCCTATCTCTCAAAAAGGCTTGGGGTTTTTTCCTGGTTTTGTGAATTTCTTTAGTTCAATTGGAAAGTATTGTTTTCCTGGAACTTGGAAGAAACTGGTTTCAATATATAATGAGTAATTAAGGCAGAAATATTTTTTCCGTCTTAAAGTAGGATGCAAAATTAGCATCTCAAAAATATGGTAAGGGAAACCATTCATAGTAGTTTTGGTTTTCTTTTAAGGGCAAAATAAATATGACTTTGAAATTAAAAGTAATTTTGAATTCTGAAAATGTGTAATTTATTTTAAATAAGAATTTAAAGGTATATTTTGACTTACTGATTTCTGGTTTGGGTGTTCTGGATTTGTTTATCCTAAATTTTTCATCAGTTTSAAAACAGACTATTCTAGTGCCAGGTGCCATTATGCTATTTCCCCTTTGGCACTTGTAATGAAATATTTAAGTAAACTAAGTTGTGCAGTTACTTGCTAAGTCCTTTTGTCGGCTTACAGGGAGAAATAAAATACTCTCCATTTTGAATCTGTGTGGGCTAGATAAATGCAAAATACATGGAATGAAAGTGTTACACAGACTGTTTTGTTAAATTTAGAAATGTATTTTTTAATGCATGCTCTTTGTAAAATCACTTTTATTTAAGCTCCTTGGTACATGTACTCTTACAACTGGTCATTCCTGTGAGGTAGCTGTCTGGGATGTTACTTTCTGATACTGTTGGGTTTTGACCCACTATATTGAAGCATGGCATGTGGTATGTCTTCTCAGGGAAGGGAAAACTGTATGAATGCTGAGTGACATCATTGTTTTGTTGTGTAGGCTTTTATTTTTTAACACATTGGAGATATTTTATGGATAGATAGAGAAAACATTGAGAAACTTTAAGTATATTTCTATCAAAAGTGTGTTCTTAAGTGGAGTGAAGAGTTTGAAAATGCAAGTAGTGATGCAACTACGGAAACTATTTTGATGGCTATACGCAGATGCATTATCATTTTTATGCCCATTTTGTGTATTTTAGCTAGTGTCTGCTTATCAAGTTATCCAGCGGGAAAAGAAGAAGCTGCAGGTAAGCATTACTTTGCATCCTCTTTTACCTGAATGCTTATTGAATCTTAAAATGTGTAGTGCCTATATAGATTAAATTTTCAGTGCATTATATGTTGTATGTGTGTGTGTGTAACAGAAGATGGTTTCTTAGCTGGGATTTCTAAGGAAGCCGAGCTAAAACTGATTTGTCAAAATAACCGTGAAGTATTGTATTCCAACCCTTCTTTTTTCATCAGCTGACTTAAGTGTTTTGATTGATAGATTGCCGACCCACAGTTTGCAGTTTATGACAATGCTTGCACATCRAGTCCGACTAGAAAGAGAAACAAATCATTACATCTGTGAATTCTTTGAATTTATTTACACATTTTAAAGTTATATTTAATACACCTGATCTTTATTCTTCCTTTTTTCTTAAGAGCATTCTGAGTCAAAGTCAGGATAAAGCACTTCGCAGAATTGGAGAATTGAGAGAGGTAATTTCCTTTATTGATTGTGTGTTTTCTTTATATCACACCTACATAGGATCTTTTTTTTGCTTAACTTTTGACTTTTTTGTTTACTTCACAAAGTATTTTCTATTACATTGGAGGGTATTCTGCTGCTTTTTTTGTTTGTTTGTTTATATGGTGTTTCTCCTCTGGCATTTTCCCCATTCAGTGGCCTATTGCTATACTCTTAAGACAGAGCAGTGCATCACAAACTGAACTACTTCTCCTGTTTGCTGTAAAATAGGTAGAAGTATATGTGGTTCTTGCAGTGTTGTTGGGCCCAGCCACATATGTCCCTGTGCAATTTGTTGCTCTTCTGTTATTATTATTGACAAGTATTAATTCAGGGAAACACAAGTAATAGGCACATTTTAATAAAGATTTCAATGACTATAGAAAATCAGGATAATTAAAAAATATTCATACTTATCTCAGTTGTAATAATTACGTTTTTATGGATTTTAGTATAGTTTGGTTTCAATCACAACATCATGTAGCTTCCATTACGACTTGTCACTTTAGGTTATAGAGAAATTAAAAGGAGAAGCTTTAATGTATTTGGTATTGATAATAAGCACATTGTACTTAAAAAGCATGTATAGATGATCAGGCAGAACATATTAAAAGGGCAAAAAAGCCATATTGTCTAAGCATGGTGAAACACAGTGTGAAGCTGAAGCCATTTTACTGCSTCAAGAGCCAGTGCAGCACCAGGTTTGGAGACGGGCATGCAAGGGCCTCTCCGTGCTCTTACCTTGTTGGAGAGCTGGGTACCATTTAGCCCAAAGTCATAGGCTTTGTCTATGTCTGCATTCCTGCTTCTGGTGTGTGGCAAGGAGGTTGCAGGAGCCATTAGACCGTGGTGAGGTTCCACCTTTGCCTGAAGGCAGACTCAGTCCTGGAAGTTGGATGTTATGCCTACAGACAGGGAACAGGACCTGTCCCCCTCATAGTGAGGCATGGTGACTGAACATCTGGCTCAAGCTCACTCCAAAGAGCTATCCCCGTGACTAGTCAGGCAGCTGGTCATTTCAAAGGGGGTCACTTGCAAACCGCTGGGCACTCTTCAGCAATCTGGGAGTAATTCAGGTAAGCAGGCTGCGAACTGCGTGTGCCACGGGGGTAGCATTTTGGTTCAGATGTGTGCTGCTTCTGTCCCAGCAGCTGGGAACAGTGCTGGGTGTACCGCACTTACCTGAGCTGGACCCTGTGTCTGGGCTATTATCATGTCCAAAGCTAAACTGTCAGGACATAGGAGGGAAAAAGCCATAGCATTACTGACAGAAGTGGCTTGCCAATGTTTTATCTTTTCCAGATCCCTACAAGGTCAAATGAAAAACCTTATTCTCTGTTAGGTCTGTATCTGCATGTTCCCGTAGGATTAATTTTCCAGCTTATTGCTACTTGTTTAAGTCAGGAAGGCATATGTAGAACAGAGCAAAATCTTTAGCAAATTACAAAGGGTTGGACATGTGCATTTTAGATAAGTTATGCATATATTTCTGATTTATATATATACATTTGTATATATGTATTTTATCTAAAATTTAATTTCATTTTTACAAATCTTGTAGATTTAAAGATTCCTTCAAATCTAGCACTGAAATTATTTTTCATTAATTGATACACTTCAAAAGTGTTTTTCTGATCTTTTGGAAGTCCAGGTGTTGCCTCATTAGGTAAAGCACACAATGAACGAAAAATTTCAAATAGAATGGTTACTTTTCCATTGTGGAAACTAAAATGGTCCAAAGGAGTTAATTCATTGATGTAGTAATTTGTTATCAGAAATTAATTTAAAAAATTCTTTTCTTCACCATACAATCTTACTTTCCCTATATGGTRAACCAGACAAGTTTCTTCTAAGAGGGCCAGGTAACAGTAAACTAATATACTTTGAGGCTAAATTGACAGTGTGACATGGTCCATAGAAATGAATGTGTCTTTTGCTTACCTTAGTTTCCTCCTGCTAGGACTAATTCCTCAAAACCAGTCTTCAGGCAGTCTAAAGTGCTCTCTTTCTCAGAAAAGAATCAGAAAGGACTTTGAGATCCAAAGAGGAGCATTTCTGTGTTGGTTTCAATAAGTCTCTTTGATGCTTGTTCTCACACTGACCTCCTTTGCTTCATTTGGAAAGAATTGCTTCTGAAGCTCAGAAACACAGGGTGGGAATGTGATCAGCATGAGGCAATGCAGCATTAAGAAATGGATATAGTGGAGAAAGGAGGAATGGTTTTTGCAGTGATGCTTTCCCTCACTGTCTATGCATGGCTGGGTAGGCTCAGCTCATACAGCTGTTGTTCTCAAAGCTGATATCAGCCTCATCTATGGCAGGGCATTCGCTGTGGGAAGTAAGAGATAGGCAGAAAGAGAGCATAAAAACAAGATTTAGAGTTGGAGGAACGCAGCACAGGAAGCATCCAGTGCTCTGTGTTTTGTCTCACTTGCTTTTTCATCCTTACTTTCTCTGTTGTCCACTGTCTTTGCCTGGCTCATGGAATTCATGTTTATGGGTGGTTATTGTTTTTAGACAAGTGATCTTTGCAAAATAACAGTCCTAGAAGTATTCTTTTCATGGGGTAAATCACGGGAAACATATATAGATGAAATAAATATATAAATAAAAAGAATTGAGAAGTTTAAAAAAAAATATTTGCAGTGCATGAATGATATATGTGTGGTTCTGGTTCTCCCAATAAGCAGTTAGATGTCAATGAGTTTAAATGTATTTATTTCCTATCAGAATGATAATTATTTAAAGAAAGTTAAATGTTTAAAATTTAAAGGCATAGGAAGTAATTAGAAGAAACCTCCTTCAGGAAATATAAGACTGTGTAGATCCTACTAATGCATTTAGGCAATATCTACAAGTTTCTAAGAGTGTTCAGCCAAACAAATGCATGTACGTATCAAGTAAAGCCACATATTTTAGTAATTTGGCATTATCTGCCCTTCTCATTTGAGACACATTTGTAGAATAAAAAGACCAATTTTCTTCTCTTATGCATGGCATTTGTCATATTGGAATGGTGGCATATTGAATAAGCATAATGAATTTTACATTTCTGCTCTTTATGTTGACTTAATCTCCTGGCTAAATGAATAATCTACCTAAGTGCGGTTTCAGTTTCTAGGAGTAATGTGTGCATGGCAGACTGCTTTTCAGTAGGTTTGAAATGATCCTTATATGAACTTACTTTAAGGAAGAAAGAATCCTTGATAATTTTGCATCAAATTTAGGCTTATGCTATTTTAATGCTGGAATTATAATCTGATATTTTTATGTTATGTGAAATGTAGTATGTAGACATATCAACCTGATGGTTGTATTCTGGGGTCACAGCTATGAAAGAGGTATTTTAGATATTTTTTCATAAGACTTTTGAGCTCACATTTCAGTATTCATTTGAGATCTGTTTATCCTCAGGAGCTCCAGATGGATCAACAAGCTAAGAAACATCTCCAAGAGGAATTTGATGCTTCCTTAGAAGAAAAGGATCAACTTATTAGTGTCCTGCAAACTCAAGTAAGATAATTTACCCAACAGATGTTGTTTAAAACTGCTCTTAATTTTACTTCTTGGCTATATATTTCCTGTAATGCATATCTGTGCTTTATTGTAATTGCTCTGAAGTCATAAAGCTTATTGAGCATTTAGGATTTTCTAGAAGTTAGGTGCATCTTTGTGGTAGAGGATACCTTTGTAAAAATCTCACATATGTTAAATATGATTGACCAATTTACACTTAAATACCTTTGTGATGTTTCTGTTATGAAGACATCAACATTAGCAGGAGTCTGAGCTAAAATTGCTTTTTCAAAATTCATGTGTTTTGCTTAATTGGTCTTTATTTCTCTACCCATAGTCATTCAATTTTTGTTAATTGCAAGCATAATTCTGACTTCTGAAAAACAGTGAAAAAAAATCAGATTTTTCTTTTTTTTCTACTTGCTAATAGCAAAATTAATTTAACTATTTCTAGTTTTGAAGATTAAAAAATGATCTGCTTAAATTCCTTTTTGTTTAGGTGTTGTTGCTGAAACAGAGATTACAGAATCATCAGATAGGCACTGAATTGCCTGATCAAAATGTGCAGTCAGAACCAGAAGTTCAAAGTCTGACAAAAGAAGTCAGTGCAGAAAATATTTTGGAACCAGGAAGCAATGGTAGGTATTGTGCTTTTTCAAGAGACCTTACATTTTGGGGAATAAACCTGCTGTTATTTATGATGGAGCAACAATATTTATGCCTGACCTTGTCATTGTAAGGATGAATTTTTTAGAAGACAATTGTTAYGAAAAAAATGTGGCAGCTAGAGGACAGGATAACCCTTCTAAGAAATTAAATTTTCATACGAATGAAAATCTGGTATGTCCTTTGTCAATATTGATAATAACATTTATCAATTAATTATTGCTTCATTGGTAGGTGTTCCAATTGTTGCCACATAATACAATTAAGAGATTCTGTCCCCCATAAGTGAGACCTATCTCTGGAATTTAGAGAGCAGATTGGTTGCCAGTCTCTGTCTTTTGTTTGTGAGTTTGGGGGGTTTTCTCTTCCTTTCTCATAAAAAAAGGGAAAACAAAGATCACTTTTGATATTCCTGCTGTTGAATAACCTAAGTATTCCTCATGTCAGGAGGTTGTTTGATTGGATTCTCAGCGTTGTATATATTTGATTACTGAGCAAGGGACATTATAATGCTGATATATAATAAAAGTGTCTTTCATTGCTACCTTCATAAAAGGGTAGGGTTAAGACAGAGGCAAACATCTTGAATTTTTTTTTTTGACATCTGCTATGGTTTTTGTATGTAGGGATGATATTAAGTATTAGGTGAGAGATGTTTTTACCTAGTACCATGGTYTTTGTATTGCTTAGTCAATAATGTAAGAGTCAGGATGCAAGACGTTTTCTGTGTGTGAATCTGCCTCTGGACTGTAGTGTCACTTATGGTTGTGAGCTGAACCTCTGAGTTTGTCTGATCCTGTTTTCATGCCTGTGGTAGGCTGGTGCTGGCTGGGTCCCAGGCACCCACCAAAGCCGCTCTCTCACAGCTGGACGGAGGAGAGACAATTTAACAAAGGGCTCATGAGTTGAGATAAGGCCTGGGAGAGATCACTCACTAAATATCATCATGGGTAAAACGGGCTCAACTTAGAGATACAAAGTGAATTTATTACTAACAAAAATCAGAGCAGGATAATGAGAAGTAAAATAAAACCTAAAAAGTACCTTGCCCCCACCCTCTGTCCTTCCCAGTTCTACTCCTTCCCCAGTGGGGCAGGGAGACAGGAAGTAGGGGTTATGGTTCATTACCCATGGTTTCTCCTGCTACACAGGGAGAGGAGTCCTTCCCCTGCTGCACCATGGGGTCCCTTCCACAGGAGACACTTCTCCATTAACTTCTCCAGCATGAGTCTATCTCATGAGTAGCTCTCTGTGAACTTCTGCTATGTAAGCTCATCCCACAGGCAGCAGTCCCCCCCAAACTGCTGCAGCGTGGGTCACTCTTCCACATGGTGCAGTCGTTTAAGGACAGGCTGCTCCAGGGTGGGCTCCTCTCTCCRTGGGCTTCCCCACGGGTCACAGCCTTCTCTCAGGCATCCACCTGCTCTGGCATGGGCTCCTTCACGGACTGTGGGTGGATCTTTGCATCCCCTTGGTCCTTCATGGGCTGTAGGGACACAGCTGCTGCTGCTGTGGTCTGCACCACAGTTTGCAGGGGAATCCCAGCTCCAGTGCTTGCAGCACCTCCTCCTCCAGTGAGCTTGGTGTCTGCAGAATTGTTCCCCTTGCACGTTTTTGCTCCACTGTTCTCTGGTTGCAATTATTTCTGCACAATAATTGTTTTTTCCTTACCTCTTAAATCTTTGATGCAGAGTGTTACCACCATTTCTAATTGGCCCAGCCTTGACCAGCAGCACATCCATCTTTGGAGCTTTGCCAGGGATTGGCTCTGCCAGACATGGAGGAAGCTTCTGGCAGCTCCTTGCAGAAACCACCCCTGTAGTTCCCCACCACCGCTTCTGAAGCTCGGCCATGCAAATCAGCCTCCAGAGCATCAGAGCAGAAGCACACAGTAAAATACTACCACATGTGCTAGTTATACAGAGTGATTCAAACTGAAAGGGAGTAGGTTTAGATTAGATATTAGGAAGAAATTCTTTACTGTGAGGATGGTGAGACCCTGGAACAGGTTGCCCAGATAAGTTGTGGCTGTCCCATCCCTGGAAGTGTTCAAAGCCAGGCTGGATGGATCTCTGAGCAACTTGTTCTAGTGTGAAGTGTCCCTGCCTATGGCAGAAGTTGGAACTAGATAATCTTTAAGGTTGCTTCCAAGTCATGGCAGTCTATGATTCTGTGAGTACAACTCAGAAAGGCCCTAAGTATAACCTTTATCCTGCCAAAAGTAGTATTGCCAGCCTGGATATTTTAGAACTATATATAGTTCATACCCAACCTTGGGAAAGCAAATATGTGTGTATGTGTGGCACTTGAGAGGTGTGATTTGCTTTGTTTCATGTTTTTTCCTACTTGTGCGTAATCTGTTAATACCAGCAGRCAGGTTTACAAATCATCATAACCTTTTAATTTCATAAAAAATCTTCTTGATTAAAAGTTTGGTTTTGAAGCTGATAAAGTAACTGGGATTTTATAAGCTAATTTGGTACAAAAGTCTGTGTTTACTATTCTGTGTATGTATAGAATGTTTCTGGCCCTTGCAGTAGGAACTAGGAAGTTTTGTAGAGTTTTCACAACTTTCTTTAGAGACCTATGAATCCACTGCATTGTGAATGATGAATGCAGATCTGCATTTTGGAAATGGCATGCATATAGTAATGTTGGTATGTTGTCTTCTAGAGGGTGATGAAGATCCTGTTAAAACAATGGAAACTCTTAATCAGAGGGTGAAGCGCCAAGAGAACTTGCTACAACGTTGGAAGGAAATTATTAGGTCACATAAGGAGCGCTGTGCACAATTAACCAATGAGAAAGATGCACTTCAAGAACAGTTAGAAGAGAGGCTTCAGGAACTGGAAAAAATGAAGGTATGGAAACTGCTCTTAGCTTTATGTGTAACTACGAAAATACAGTAAGAACTCCAATATTTCCAAAATTTATTAATATTGACTATAAAACAAACTACCCCTGTATTTTTTTTGAGATGAAGGTGCGAAACCCACCTGGGATTAATACACTGAGCAATTACTCTAGAGTGGTGAAGTAGCRTATGAAACCTTACTGTATGAATAACTATGAGAGTAGTATCAGAAATACATAGTTGCGGGAAATTGGGGTGAGGAAAAGACTCTTAGCAAAGAAGACAGAAGGTAAAGTGAGAAAAGTGGAGCAGAGCTAAACCTTTAACACACAGTGAAAGAGGCATTAATTATGTAAATTAACAGAAAGAAACAGAAAAGTAGAGCAGTAGAAATCAAAATATATTGAATGTAAATGCAGTTCCAAAACTAATAAATAATATTTTTCTCAATTTTCCTTTTAAGGCCAATAATGCTGAGTGTGAAGTAAAAATAAGGTGGCTCATTGTAATGGAAACCTCAAAATGTGCTAAGTATAGTTGTACTTAATTTTAGTTACAGAGATCAGATTCCCAACTCTGTCTTCATCTCTGAGCACTAGCCTGGTTTGAAAAAGCTCTGAAAGACTTGAGTATTTTAATGATCTTGTCTGGAACAAGGCTGGTAGTGATCATTTATGTTGCATTGCTGAGATCCTCTTGTAAGCTAGATTTAAGATGCAGATAATAGAGCAAAAACCTTAGACATATTTCTTGTTTTACTGTAGCAACTCAGACCCCCATATGTGGAGGCTCTAACAAAGCCTGCAGATTACTGAATTACTACAGAACCCATAAGGCAGCCTACATCTGGGAGATGTCAAAGTARTTTAAACGTGCCTGCTTTAATTACCCTGGTTTGTGTTCTATGTTCTTCCTCCAAGGCATAGTGCAGGGTAAGAGCCAAAGCTAAGTTGTCAACCAGCTTGTGGTTGGGTTCTTTTTTTAGGACCTTCACATGGCTGAGAAGACTAAACTGATTACCCAGCTACGTGATGCAAAGAATTTGATTGAACAGCTAGAACAAGACAAGGTAAACAAAACTGTAGGTTTTGAGGAAGGTTGTTTAAAGACAATATCATGCTTCCTGGTATTAGAAGCTGGTTTTAGTGGTCTGATAGTTTGGGCTATGTTTCAATAAACAAATAATATAAGCTACTTGAGAATTTCATTGTATATATACCATAAGGTATATGTCAGTTAGATTATACTTAATACTGCAACATTATGTTACTTAGGATGATGCAATTATACTGAATACACTCCTTGATGCCAACTCTAAAACATAAAGAAAGAAATCCCAAACACTAATGAAGACGAGATATAATTAAATGAATTTTAAAATAACCAGTGAAGTAACTACATTTTTGGTAGAAAATTAAGAGTTTCTCAATTTTTAGCTCTTTAAAAGTTTTTTTTTAATCACAGTCTTGGTACCTGGAGTAATTTCTGGCGGTGTAATAAGCAATGTGACTAACACTGTGTGTGCATATTCTCAAACGAGAAGTACACACTCTACAGCACTTTTCCTTTGGGTTTGTTTACAGAATACATGTTTCAAAGGAAAGTGTCTGTTCCAGAAGGAGGAAGTTTTTGGATGGCGTGTGGTTGGTGGAGTTCTTTCCACCACTAGATAAATTTTGGATACTCTTAAAAATAATCTCTGTTCTTATCTTCCTTTTTGTTAGCATTTTCTGTTTTCTGACATACAAAAATATCATGATCTGTGGTCTTGTAGTAACAGACTATAGTTTATTCCTGACAAGGATTGTGTCTTGGTTTGAAATTGTTTCAGTTGTATGTTTTATTTATTTGCTAGCATTTTATCACAAGGAMCTTTTCCATAGGGCATGGTAATTGCGGAGACAAAGCGACAAATGCATGAAACACTGGAAATGAAGGAGGAGGAGATAGCCCAGCTGCGTGCTCGAATCAAACAAATAACTACAAAAGGCGAGGAATTAAAAGAACTGAAAGAAAAGTCTGAAAGAGCTGGTAAGAAAATATGGAGATGATTGGCTTTTGCTTTTATGAATCAGAAAACTTCGGGGTGGTTTTTTTTCCCCACTATTTGTCAGTTGTTGTTTGGAATGGATATTAAGAGATGCTCTTTTTTCTGTTCTACATATCATCCTTGCTACCTTCGTTACTAACTTCACTTCTGGACAGCCGAGTTTAAAGATGTTTGTGACTGGTTTGTCTGTTAGGAAAATCTGAGCTAGGAAGAAAACTGCTGAAAGGCAGCTGCACATCCCAATTTGTAGGAGAAAAGATTGATGGAATTTTCTTCTGGTTTAACTTAAAAAGAGAAATTTGCAACTTCCTATAAATTGTCATTATAGTGCCACCAGTACTTCATGTAGAAAATATAGCAGTGAGTGTGTAAGAGTTTGTGAATGAGTAAAAATAAGTGTTATAACTACAATAAGCATTTTCTTTGAATTATTTAATGGAAGCATTTCTGGTTTCTCTTAAATGAGTTGGTTTCAGGCTTGGAACAGAGCACTTATGTAACTGCTACATGGTGTAGTTTGCTTTTTATAGAAATTAGGTAACGTGTGCTTGCAGTTATCCTTTTGCTTGAAATGAAATTAAACCATTGTTTTTTAAACAGTGCAATTGTTTTGTACTATATCAAAATTCTTTTAGAATWATTTAATTTGCTCGCATGGGCACATAAAGAAGCTCACTCCTTTGGCAGAAGTTCAGGTGTTACTTTGAAAAAAAAATATTATACATATTTTCTTTAAAAAGCAATGAGAATTTCAAATAATACAGTTCATGCTGGTTTATTTTAAATCTACATAGATTTACATTAGAACTTGCAGTTTTAAAGATTAATTTGGGTAGATTATTGTGCTGTAATGCCAAGAAGCATCTGGAAAATCCATCTTGTGAAAGTAACATTTTGATTAGGAGCCTTCCTCTCCTACCCTTTCATGGTTGCAGGTCTCATTTTAATTCTGGAAATTCATACTTCTAAAGTCAGTCCTGCTCAAGCTGTATTTTGTTCGTACTGGGAGRCTAGTAAGGTCTTAATGATTAAAAAAAGAAGCTGAAGAATCTTTTAATACTTCTGTAGATACGAAGTTATTGTGATAGCTATTTGGAATAATGTTTTTTGAGGCAGCAGAAATAATTATGAATTATGAAATGTATTATATATGCATACTGCTGTATACAGTAATTTCTTCAGATTTGCCTGGCCAGAAGCTGAAATCAGGTTAGAGATTATGCTGTAGACAACTGGAAATCTGTCTATTGTAATGAGAAATAGTTTAACTTGCATGAATAATATGCTGAGTACACTACTCTTTGCTAGGGGGAGATTTGTGTGTTAAATGTGGTCTTTTTTAAACAAAAATCTTAAGTACTTTGGTACTTTTTACAGTGCTTAAGTATCAACTTTACCTTTGCATTTATTTCTTATTGTCTGTTAAGCATACATAAGTGTTGGAACCCTTAGAAAATTATTTAACACTGCTTTTAAGACAGACAGAATTGTAAGGTGTTGTTTATTAACTTTTTCTATTACATCCTTGGCCTGATGGATTCAAAAATGTGATCTGCAGTGGTAGATTTACAGTGGCAGATCTACAGTGGTTCAATACAGTTCAATTAAATTATTTGAGAAAACCACCTTGCATACTGGGAGAGCCTGAAAGTGCTTTTAGGTCACAACCTTTTGAGTTGTAACGGTTTTGTGAATTGGGCAATTTAATGTATTTGAGGTCAACATTTAAAGTTCTGGTTTTTTGTATAGTTTATGTGAGGCAGTATTTGCAGAACCACTGAATGAGTAAGGTTGGAGGACCCCAGTTGTCATCTGATCCAACCTCCCTGCTCAGCTAGGGTCATCATAGAGCCCATGGCACAGAATTGCATCTAGGCTGTTAAATTGTAGACATCATTTTCTATATCATGGTTTAATGAAGAACTGATAGAATGGAATGAAGTGGAAATGTTAATTCGTTTCTGTTGTAGCAAAACAAGGATAAGCATAATACACTTGAAATTTACTTTGTAATAAGTGCTGGAGACTAAAAAGTGGTATAGTTTTCCATATCATCTTACCTAGTGTTCCATCTCTGGCATTTTTCTTTGTAAATCAGGACTTTGGTGAATTGCTCCAGTGTTTGATTTCATGCAAATGCAATTTGTTGCAATGAAATAGCGAAAACATTTATATGCTTATTTTTTGTTGTGTTATGTGAACCGTAACTTGGTCTCCCCAGTGTAAGTTCTTTTTTTTTTGTAGTCAGAGGTACATTATGTTGAAATCTCACAGAGCATCTTGTTTTTGTGCATCCACAAATGCCAATAAGTGAATCATGGTGCCTTTCCCAAGCCTTGTATGAACAGGATTGGGGTAAGGGCTCTGTTTTCTTGCATTTCACACTGGGTGCTTGAAGTGGGCTCTRAAAAGTAAATTCCGTGCTTCTCAGGCACTTCTATTTGAGGTATCACACTTTTTTATTTCAAGAAAGATCTTCTTAATATTTGTAAATTTCCAGGTAAGCTTAAGTTTGTTTTTCCTGACATTACCTAGCATAAGTACTTTATGTCTTCTCAGGATGCAGATTTATTTATACTCTGTGCAGTAAACAAAGTCTTTAGAAAGCAAATCCTATTCTTTGTAGGCAAGCATTTCTTTTGCAAGCTTAGTTAACATATACCCTGCGCCTTTCTTGAGTGAAAAAAAAGGCTTGGACTGTGCCTTTAAAATCCTGCCTAGATGAACAAATCAGCTATAGGAAATTATTTTATCCTTTTTTTTTTTTTCCAAAATTTGGATATGACGTGTGCTCTCAGCCATCAGAAATGGAACATGTAATCCCTCCTTTGTCAGCTGGTTTACTGCTTTCTTCTCATGTTTTAGCAGTAGGAAGTGCTGTAAGCAAAGAAAAGAGGTCTGTGTCATTGGGGCAGGAAGTGAGAAGGCTTTGGAGCACACATGGGTGTTACTCTGGTGGGGAGGGGTAAGGTGAAGGGAGCAAAGATAAGTACTTTGGATTGGCAGAGGTAAAGTACTCAACTCTCCAGCACACATTTTATAAAAATCAGGTTTGCAGCCTTGCACATCTTAAACTCCGCTTAGGCTTAGGTTTCCAGTTTGTCTGGCTTTATCAAGTAAATTGGGTTTTGCAAGACTCACCTGAGAATTTGTTGATGTGGTTGTTTCTATTTCTGATTTGCTAAAGTGCCTTTGTGAAACTTCATTCAACCAATACTTGGTTGAAAGACTTTCCCTGAACAAAGTTCTGTAGGCTGGAGAAGAGCGTAGAGGCACTGCCTTTACTCTTCTGCATTCAGAGTCAAATGAAATAAAATTTTAGATAAAAACAGAAACTTTATTTCAAGCTTTTATAYGTGGTAGAATTAAAATCTTTCACAGTTTAATAGTAACAGTGATAATAGAGACCACATTCTGTCTACTTGATGATAGTTTAGCCCTCTGCTGATTTGAAACTTGGTTGTGTCCAGCTACACTAGAATTAACTACTTCGAATTAAAATACTCTGTTTTTCCTAAGGGCTGTGCCTGAGATGCATATAATTTAACTTTTAGAGAGCTAAGTGTTTCTGTGAAGTGTTGCTTCTTTGTGCTTTCATACTCTCTTGGCTTTTTAATCAGCTTTTGTCTAGTTTTTGTATTAGCATCCTGCTTGTTAATTGTGGTGATGCAGCTTTTGTACTGCACGTTGCTCAGCAATTCCATGTCAGCAGTCAATCCTAGTGTGAGCTTGGATCTTCTCTTTGGCTGATCTGTGGCAAATGTATTCTCTTTCCTTTTGCAGAAGTAAYAGGTTTCTCAAATGAGATTGAAGTACATGATGCTCAGAACAAGAAACAGAATATGTGTATGGAAAAGTGAAATAACTTAATGTTCTACTTGCAGGCTTTAGTTTCAAGCTATACTTTGTAAAGTAGAGTAGGGGTTTTTTTTTCTTTGTTTTTTTTTGTTTGCTTGTTTGGGGTTTTCTTTTGTTTGCTTGTTTGAAAAACRATATCTATCATGCAGTAATACTGAAGGACTTGGCCAATTTTGCTTGCCCTGCTTTTGTTAGGACTGAGAGGAGCATCAGGGAARTCAGTACCATTCTCCAAACACAGTTCTGCAGGCTGTATTCATAATCAAGTTGTGCCTGGTGTGGCAAGGGGACAGAACTTGAGTCCTGCCTGTTGCAGGTCGCAAATGCCTTGATGGAGTTGTAAAGAGCTGTGCAAAATAAGGAGCTATAAGCCTTGTGCATGCTTGTATTATATTTTAGACCGTTTTCCTATTTAAGGTAGTCTCTAGTGCTCTTATTTTTTTATAATAGTTTTGGTATTTAAGCAGAACCAGGAGTGAAAAAGTGGATATAGTGGTGCACTTTGGTATTGCCAGAATCAATAACAGCCCCATTTTGCCTTAAAACATTATTGTTGCAGTGAGTAGTCAGAAAAAGGCCTCCTCACAAAAGAGGAGAAAATTCTGGAAAAGGTCAAAATTTGGGGGAATCCAGTTTTATGAAATTAAGTTACTTGAAAACATATTTGCAGCATTGCCTCATAAGTATAGACTGTGGTTAAAATCTTCAAGTTTTAATGTTATTAAAAGATGTGGAATGGAAATTATTATTCACTTCTCAAACACTGCCTAAATGTTATGGATTTCAAAAAACAAAGGTTGCAATAATTACTATGAATACCTACTAACTAACAGTGAATTAAAAAAAAACTAGACATGTCTATTGTGATTTTCTTTTGGGGATATAGAATCTAKTGGAAGAAAGCTTAGCATACTAAATAACACATCAAAAATTATTTTGTTCTGTTTCCTCCCAAAATAGAATCCAAGTAGTCCAGGCTGTAATAGAATAATCTACTTTTAGGGGGTCGTGCTCTGGTAAATTACAGTCTTGATATTGGCACTATGATTTTGAATTTTTAAGATGTGTTTTGCCAAAATTCTGTTAAGAGAATTATKAACTGTACAGTGGTGTTCTGAGACTGATTCTTTAAAATATGTATCAGGGCTTTTCCACATTCATGATCCATTCAGGAAAAGAGATTTCCCTAATGGTAGTTGAACTCTAGTCATGTGCAATTCTATATAGACTCTCACATCAGTTGTAGCGACTTTTAGGGGTATTGAATAAATAAGTGAGCTCATAATACAGGAATTTATTTGCTTTCTTTTTGTATCTAAATTATCATCTGTGAAGTGAATAAAGCATGTTAGAATACTTCTTACCATGAGATGAAGCTGTGTAATTATTGCTTCCATTTTGTAAATTAAATGTGTTTCAGTGGATTTGTGCATCCTGTGCAAGAGTAAATAAATTTCAACACTGCAGCTTCAGTGTCCTTCTGAAACAACTTTTAGTTATTCAAATTTTCTGGGAGCAAATCTTAACTTTTTATTTTTTAAAAAATTTTTGCATTTTGTTTGTGAAGTTTAGAAGTGGAGGACTGTATTCTTAAAACTCAACTACTACACTGGTAGTAGTGTACATTAAATATAAATAGTGGGAGAATGAAATTAGCAAACTCATCTCTGTGGACTCTATGAAACACACAGTTTTAAGAAAAGGTTCTCTAGATTTTACAGTTTGGAATTACTCCTACATCAGCTCCTACTACTTGCACTGTAGTCATTCTTGATTTATGTTTCTGTCTGCTTGTTTTAGTGGAAGAACAGCTTGTGAATTGCCTTTTCATTGAATTGCCTTTCTTGAGCTGTTTTTCCACTTCTTCAAAGTTGCTCAGCAGATATAGTCAGAAGAGGAGTGTTATAGTTCATTYATTAATATGGCTTATGTATTTTGTAGTGATTTTAGGCAAAGAAGTAGAAGCTACAGGATGTCTTGGAAAAATATTCACATTTACCTGTCAGTTCTCTTTCCTTTCTAGACAATAAACAAATGAATTCTTGATAGATTCCTAAGTTCATCTCTTATTTGTGAAATTCTTCTATCAAAATACATGGATATTTCTCAATTATCATATCCTTTCTTTTCTTGGCAGCTTTTGAAGAGCTTGAGAAGGCTCTAAGTATTGCACAAAAGACAGAGGAAGCCCGGAAAAAACTGCAGATAGAAATGGATGAAAAAGTTAAAGCAGTGGAAAAGGCAAGTGAAGAAGAGAGAGTGAATCTTCAACGGGAATTAACCAGAGTGAAACAAGAGGTGGTTGAGATTATGAAGGTAAAAGCTTTATTACAGTTAAGCTATATTTATAAAATACATCAGTATGGCAGAACTTTGTTATTTAATAAAATCTATAAAATATTTTCTGTAATTAAAGATTTGCTTAATGCAAAATCGGAAACTCCTCATAGATTTTTTTCCCTCCAGCAATTTAAATCAGTTCATTAGTGGCATGTAAAAATAAATAGTACTACTCTTTGCTTCACAGAATTTAATAAATTTATTTATTATAAGTACACTTGAGGCTTTAAACAGAGTCAAGAAGAGATTAATGTCAGTAAGCTTATGCATCTCCACCTGGATCTTGGGTTTTAATCACTTAGCTTTTAATCATTACCCTTTCTGAGTATGTGTAAATGTTTAAGAACTTGTTGCCAAATTGTTTGCTTGTAAAAGTTTCTGTAATTTACTTCATCTGGTGTATTCAGGTAGGAATTGCAGGAACAGTTCACATGCCTTGCAAAGCTGTAGATTTGAACACCTTTAAATTATAATTCTTGTGTTGACATTTATAATGGTATTAATTTTTCTAAGAGAATATGCTGATGCTTTAGAGGGATAACTGACATGCTTTACATTATTCTTAAATAAAGCACATGTGTAGGTTGTAGATGACCACTTGAGTAAGTTATCATCACTTGACTTTCTGGCTCATGAAATAACAAAAATACTGGGAAAGCTGCAAAAAAGTTCTTTTTACAATRTGTTATCATGTTGGAATTGAAAACACTGTTTGCCTTGGTAGAAGAGTCTTTAGAAAATGCAGTGTTTCCTTTAGTACAACTATGAAAGACTTGAGAAGCAGGGTGGATAACTTTGAGCTTGAAAATAAGAACTGTCAGGGCTTATTATAAAGCACTCCAAGTGATCATTATTTATTCAAAGGGAGCAAAGAGATGGCCCCATTTTCTTTTCTCTGTTGCACTTCTTTCTGATTAAGAAAAAATGCTATGTGTTTTGTAACTTAATATATTGAAATGAGTTTTTTCTGATTTTAATTCACAGAAGTCTTCAGAGGAACGAGTTGCTGAACTAGAAAAAACCCATAAAAAAGAACTGGCTACCAAAGATCAGGAGCTAAATGAAAGGTTACAGGCACAAGAAAAGGTGTTCCAGGAGAAGATGAAAGCAGCTCTTGTAAGTAAACCTAAAATGTATAGAAAGATATTTTTCTAAGTGTGAATTGGAAGTCCTTGTTTGACACTATTCCACACTGAGAATCCTTCAGTGCTCAAAGATAGGAGTGCTCTCCAACAGTCAAATAGCTCAGAGACTTCAGCAACATGAAAAGAAAGCAGGTGCGTGATACAGACTGAATAATGATAATTTGCCACTATCAGTGCTCAGTAGCAGCTGTATCTTGTGAAAAATACTTATTTGAAAGATTTTTTAGACATGCTTTTAAAATATCTTCTTATGGGTCATTGGCAATCAGCCCCAACAACTAGAGTAAAAAGTACAAATAATGAGGCTGTTTGAAACACGTTGGTATAGTTATGTCTGGTTGTGTTGTGTTATGTGAACAGGGTTCACTATTCATAGTGTTTGACCTCAGAAAAAGAATTTTCTTTGAGATCAGACTGTTCAGAAAAAATGTTGGAATTTTTTGCACTTTTTCATGAGCTGTAATCCACTACAGATAATCATGTAATTTTGCCTAAATAGTAGATATATATGCAACATAAATATGTATATATATACATATATCTATAAATACATATATCGTTACAAACAGTGGATTGTTTTTGTGCCTCTCCATGATGGATAGTGATTAGGACTGAACAGTCCTGCCATGACTATATTTTTCTACCTGTTTTGCAGGTTACTTCCATACTTATAAGAAACAGAAACTTAAAATTATATTAGCAGCGGAATCCAGGGAGAACAGACATTTATTGCTCTAATATGTTAGTGTCTGTAAATAGTTGTAAACAAACCAAAATGAAAGGGTTGATTGCATTATATTTTTCATGCAAAGACAAGTGGTTTCCAAGAAAAACACATGGAAGTGATGTATTATGATTATGTTTTCACAGATTAAACAAAAACTCTTAAGTGTTTGTGTAGAAAATAAAGGTGATTAGTACATGACTCCTATTAACTGGCATCCTATCATAATGTTTTTGAAGGTGTGATGACTATATTTATAGTTTATTGATTAATTGTACCTTTTCTTGCAGGAAAAAAATCAGAGTGAGTGCTTAAAAGCCCTTAAAGAGCAAGAGCTGCAAGAATCCTTGGCCTTAGAAGAATTAGAGCTGCAGAAGAAAGCCATACAGTCTGAGTGTGACAAGAAAGTTCAGAAGATGCATCAAGAAGTAGAGACTTGTAAAACTGTGAGTAAAGATTCCAAAAGACTAAACATTTACATATAGTCCATTCAATATGTGTTTAACTGTGACAAGTTTACAAATAGTGATATGTTGTGATTGGGTCCTGTGGGATTGAAGTGACAAAATTTTAATGTATTGCCAAGTGATTCTGTAGCCCCTAGTTTTTTATAAGATTAAGTGGCAAAATATGGAAATGTATTCACTTTACAGCATAGTGTGGGGTATGAATTTGTATCCATCTACTTTATTTTTTGGTATGTTATACAGAGGAATTAAATTTCAGGCTTTTTAATTTCTGGGTACTGCTACCTTAAAAACACTCATGAGGATAATTTAGTAAGTATCCTCGTATATRCAAAAGGAGTATATTTACAAACGAGGGTTACAGGACAGTTAAGGCACACTAAGGAAAAATAAACAATAGCAAAACCAAACAAAATCCAGACAATCAAACAGACATGAACCAGTAACTATGTAGGGGGGTGTGTATGTGGGTGTGCGTGTGATAAAAGGACAGTGAGGGCAAAGATAAAAAGGAATATGGCCTAAAAGTTTTACAGCACTGAAACTTAACAGTAATTCAACTTTAATTATACTATAAACATAATAATTTAACGGAATAACACTTAATTTATACCTAACTCAACTTATAAATTAACCTCAACAATTTAACAGCATTTAAACTAACTTATAAATTAATCTTAGCAACTTAGCGAAGAAGAGCTCTTAGCAGCATTCCACTTAGCTTACAACTTATGACTTAACCTTACTTACAGGTCTAACTTACTTAGGTATCTAAGGTACTTAAACATTTCAGAAAGCAGCATTTCTCCCGGCTTTGCTATAGCATATGTGCACGTGCAGGCACACAGACATAAAGAGTCAGTGCAAGCAAGGTACCTATGAAAAATTCCCCTTCAAAGTAAGTGAAATACTCACCTTGGATGCCTTTGCATGACCCCAGTGGGTGAGGGCATGAGCCTTGAGGAGTGTGGCTACTGGCCCAGGATTCATCATTGTTCGTTGATCCTCTGAGTACAAAACACTTGAGAGTTCATTAGCTCTGAGAGGTGTTCCAGTCAGAGGGACATTGCTGGTTGCAGTCCATTGGGGTCCAGGAGAGCTTACAGGGTCCCATTTTGGAATGTTGTTTATAAGGTTGCAGGAAAATGGGCTTTAGTCATAATGTTTCGTCCTGCTGCAGTTTGGCTTGGCATTTTCTTTGACAGTGTGAGAACAGAGATGTTATGCCATTCAGGCAAGAAAAATAGTTTCCAAGGCTGTTTGCAAGGCAAACTGGAGCTTRTTAGACAGCAGTGTTTCCTGGGAGTAGAAACTGTTTCTGACAGGCTTGGAAAGGGCTGAGCCAGGTGCTGTTTTATTAAGGCTGATGCCTAAGGAGAATTTCTCAGATCGCAGTGCAGCCTGAAAAGGAGGGGGGAATGCACCACCACAGTAGGTAAAAGATTGGCTTAAGTTTTTGAAGTGTCCTTTGCTTTATGTAAYGGCTAAAATTGTATTATCTGCTAATGAAAGTTTGTACATTTCACCACTCCCAGATGTTACTTTGGAGGTTTTGTGTAGAAAAGCATTTAAGTTTTACAGCAGCATTTCCATGGGAGGTAAAATTATAATAAAAGAGTACTCGGGTACAAAACTCCATAATGCTACTGCAGATTCCCTATATATTTCATCCTATATGTTTGTACTTGAGTTTAAGAGCAAAATGCAAACATATTTCTCAAAAATATCACATTAYTTTTAAAATTTGAATTAGTCTCTGCATTGAAATAGAAAGTTTTTCATTAAATAACGAACTTTCCATAATGGAAGCAAAGGTGAGAACAAACTAGATGAATGAAAGGTTTACAGAAAAAGTTTATATTTGCTAAAAATAATGGAATAAGTGACTTGTAGTTATGTGAACTGGGTAAGATTTTTAAAAGTTTAATGAAATTGTTACCTTTTGAATATTCGTATTCTTTAAAACTCTTTTCTAACAGAGGATTCTTGAACTGGAAAGCTCTCTTGCAAAGTATTCGCAAGATGACAGAAAGCAGTTAGAGGAATTAAGTACTCTCATAGAGTCTGAAAAAAAGCAGCACAGTAAGGAAATCAATGATATGGTTGAAAAACACAATAAAGAATTGGAGAATGTGAAACAGCAGCAAGAAAAGCTTTGGACAGAAAAACTTGAAACTTTAAAGCAACAACAAATAACTGAAATAGCAAAAATACGAGAGAGAGAACAAGAGATACATACAATTTTGAAAGAGAAAGAAACAGTTCTCTGTGCAATCATAGAAGAGAGGAATGAAAAAACATTAGAAAAACTTGATGTGAAACAAACAGAATTAGAAGCACTGTCTTCTGAGCTATCAGAAGCACTAAAAATACGTCATGATTTAGAAAAAGAGCTCTCAGAATTGAATAGTAAAGTGTGTGAAACAAAGCAAGAATTGGAAGGAAAGTTGGAAGAAGAGAGGAAACGGCACAATGAAATGATTGAAACTATGTTAAAAGAGCATGAAATGTCTATTCAAGGTGTTGAGAAGTTACTCAAAGAGGAACTCAACAAGCTCAAGCAGTCACTGGAGGAGAAAGACAGACATTTGGAGGAGTTGAAAGCACGTGAACAAAAACTAAAAGAATCTGCAGAAAGATCTGAAGCTGAACTTGTCCAAGTGTCTGCAAAACTGGAGGAGCAAAGCAGTGAAAATACAAGGAAAGTAATCTCTCTAACACAGCAATATGAATGTCAACTGAAGGATCTACAAAGAAAGGCTGATGAGACGAAGAGAAGTCTGACTGAGAAGGAAAATGAAATTGAGCACATGAAGAAGTTACAGAACAAGCAAGAGGAAGAGCTTAAACAGAAACTGTTAGCTGCAGAGGAGAGAATTACAGCTTTGCGAGGAGAGTATGAAAGTAAACTGAAATGTCAGGAAAAGAAAGTGGAGAAAATGAAACAAAAATCAAAAGATATGCAGGAAGCTTTCAAAAATAAACTTGCTGAGCAGGAAGCTAAACTTAAAAAAGAGCTTGAAAACAAGCAGTTGGAGTTCAGTCAGAAAGAGAGTGAATTCAATACTAGAATTTTGGAAATGGCACATGCCAGCTCATCTGGAATCAATGATACTGTATCAAAACTGGAATCTAATCGGAAAGAGCAACTAGCCAGTCTTGCTGAGGATCATAGGAAGAAATTGGAAGAAGTCATCCAAAGTTGGGAAAAGAAACTTAATCAGCAGATTGAAGAGCTCAAGGAAAAGCATGATATGGAATTGCAAGAGAAAGAGCAGGAAGTTGGAGATCTGAAACAGAAGCTTTCCACCTTTAGTTCTGAAAAGGAGGACTCCAGAACAGAAATAACCCAGCTGAAGGAAGAACAAATGAAAAGGGATGAATGTCTAAAGGAATTGCAAGAACAGCTAAGGCAGTCAGTGGCTAAGGTGAATACTTTATCAGATAAGGAAATTGACCTGAAAACACAGCTCAAAAAACTGGAAAGTGATCTTAAACAGTCCCTGAAAGAACAGAAAGGACTTCAGGGACAGCTCAGTAAACAAAAAGAAGTTGAAGAAAAGGACAAAGCCACAATTACTGAGCTGGCTGATACACTGAAAAGCCTTGAAGAGAAACTCCAAACAGTGCAATCTTCTCAGTATAAAGATCATGAAAATTTTGAGAAAAAAATAGAGGCAATTCGGCTAAAGGAAGCTGAGTTTAAAAAGTTGCCAGGAGAACTTAGAGCTCAGTTAGATGCTTGGAAGAATGCTGAAGCTTCATTACAAACTAAAGGCAATGAACTAATTGAAAAATGTAGTGAAAAAATTGGCATACTAATACGTAAAATTACAGACTGTGAGCACCAAATTGCAAAAGTTAAAGAAGCAATATTAATCAAAACAAGTAAAATAACTGAACTAGAAGCTCAACTTAGAGAAATAACAGAGCATCATTCTGCTGCTACTACTTCTTTGCAAAAGTCAATGCAAGAGCTGCAAGAGAAGGGCAATTTAATAATGTCTATGAGAGCTGACATTGAAGGACTTGTAACAGAAAAGGAGCAATTGCAAAAAGAGGGAGGGCATCAGCAGCAAGCAGCATCAGAGAAGGAAACTTGCATAACACAGCTGAGGAAAGAGTTATCTGAAAATATCAATGCTGTCACATCAATGAGGGAAGAACTCCAGGAAAAACAATCTGAAGTGTCTGCTCTAAACAAAACAGTTAATGACCTTAATGTTAGACTTGAAAGCACAGTAAGTTTAATCGAGAAGGAAGCAGCCATGTCTCTGTTAAGCAAGCAACATCAGGACGATCAGTTGCAGTTGTTAAATCAAGTAGAAGAGTTAGCATCCAGAGTTGAGATGCCGAGTCAAGAAAAAGCATCAGCTCTTGATCAGGTCCATCATTGCACAGCCCAGCTGTCAGAGTGGAAGATGAAAGCACAAACCAGGTTTACACAAAATCATGATACTATCAAAGATTTGCAGAGCAAACTTGAGTTAAGCAATACTGAAGCAAATAAAAAAGATGAAGAGCTAAACAAACTGAAGGAACAGCTGGCTAAACAAAGCAAGAACCTTGATAGTTTAAAAAATGAATTGGAACAAAAGCAAAACAGGAGGGAAAAGGAAGAAAGTGAGTTAACCTCAAAGTTAAAAAAACAAGCAGCAAAAATTGCTGAATTGGAAAAACACATTGCTCAGAAAACTTTAGAAAATGATTGCTTAGTGGAGGAACTTAAAAAGTGTAATGAACAAAAAGACACAGAGAAAAAAGAGATAGTTCAGCAACTCCATCAAGCAGAGAAGGTGGCTTTTGAAAAGGAAAATAGATTTAGGAAGGCTGAAGAAAAAGTGCTTAATCTTGAGAAGCAGATAGGTTCACTGAAAGCTGATTTTGAAGCGAAGGAGAAGGAATTTGATCAAATGAAGTCAGTGATACTTAAAAGGAAAGAGGAAGAGCTGAAAGAATTAGAAGAGAGACTGAATGTAGAGAACAGCACTAAGTTGGCCGATCTGAAAAAGAAGGCAGAGCAAAAAATAGGTTCCATTAGAAAGCAATTACTGTCTCAGATGGAAGAAAAGGAACAGCAATTTAAGCAAAATAGAGAGGATCAGTTAAGAGAGTTGGAGCAGAAAGTACAGGAGAGAGAAGCCAAAATTGACTCCTTAGAAAAAAAAATTAAGTCAATAAGAGATTCCACAGAATTAGAGAAGGAAGTGCTGGAAAAAGTAGAGAGTGTAAAAGCTGCTGTAGAACAAGAAAAAAATAGTTTGCTTGAGAGTGTAAAACAGACATATAAAGAGAAAATGCAAGTGTTACAGAAGGGCTTAACTGAAAAAGATGCATTATTGCAGAAGTATGAGAAGGAACAACGAGAAAGTAATGACTCTCATCTAGAACTGCAAAATAAACAGAAAGAACTCCTTAAAAAACTAGAATGTGTTGAGAAGAGCCATCAGGAAGAGCAAGTTAGGAGCCAAAGCCTCAGGAAAGAACTTGAGGAGCAAAGCAAAAAATATTCATTGTTAGCAGATGAGCATGCCTGTTGTGATGGTGTTTTAGCAAGCAGTAGGGAAGAACTGAAAGTTAAAGAACAAAAACATATTGATATGGAGAATATAATTGGAGATTTACAGAAAAAATTGCAGGAAAAGGAGGCAGTCACTCAGTCTTTAGAACAGAAGATAAAAGAATTAGAAAACAGTATAGCAGAGAAAAATGAAGTGCATAAGATTGAAATGGAAGATACAAGTTTAAGATATGAAGATAAGCTAAAATGTCTACAGCAAAAGTTGGATGAAAGAAATGACAGTCTTAAAGCTTTTGAGGAAAATGCTGACGAAAAGACTAGATCTGTTTTGGAGCTGCATGAGTCAGTAGTTGATATGCAGAACCAGCAGAAAGACTTACAGACTAAACTGGAAGAGACTGAAAGGGAGAAACAAAAACTACGCAAAGAGGTGAAAAATCTTCAAAAAGACATACGAACTCTGCGAAAAGACCATCAGCWAGAGCTTGACTTAGTAAAGAAGGAGTCCTTAGAAGAAATGGAGCAGAAAATCAGGTAAATTCTTTGTTCCTGTTTGTGTTACCATTTGTGTATTTTGTCTTTAGCCACTAAAACCTCTAAGCTACTTTTGTAAAACATTCTGCAACAAAGAAATATTGACTGGTATTTTTCTGTGATTTTTCTAAATAGACTTAGAGAAACAGAAAGAAAAGAGGTTTGACTTTTGGCAGAGTAATACTGCTTCTGATCTGTTTCAATGATGGCCATTTTCAACATTGCCAAAGCATAAAATATAATTCTACTTCTGTTAAACAGGAAACAAAGTTTATTAAAACTTAGTACTGAGAGCTTCATGTTCAGATGATATCAATAATAGTTCATACATACTGCACAAAATGTGATGTAATGCTCAGCACTCTTAATAGTTTCTCAAGGAATTCTAAAAATTCCCTAAAAATTCTGCTTTTTACGGCATATTCTTGTCTTCCAGTTCTTCAGCTTCTGCAGCATATCCTCCATATCCTTTGGAAGGGTTCAATTCTGTTTTTTTTTTTTTCATTTTTAAATGAAACGCCTACCAGGTGAATTAGATAGAAGAGGAAGAAAAAGCCTCTGAATGCCGAAGAATTAATATAATTCAAAACCATCCCATTCTAAAATAGATTTGAAGAAATTCCCACATCTCTTGCCTTGCTAAACTGGTTTTGCACCAGTTTTACACCCTTTAAACATTTTATTTCCTTGCTTTATGTTTTTGATATTTTTGTACAGATGTGAACAAGAAGACATTGAGTTGAAGCACAACTTCACCTTAAAGCAGTTAATAAGAGAGTTCAATACTCAACTGGCTCAAAAAGAGAGAGAATTGGAAACAACAGTAAAAGAGACAATCAGTAAGTGAAAAACTGATAAGCCGTAATCAATAAAATAGTCAGAAAACTGAACCTTTGGTTATTGTTTTGGGGAAGGGATTTTTTTTCTGGGACTGTGATAAACACGTCTTTTATTGAATGTCTAGAGAATGCAGGGGAAGAATTTCTCTTGCTTAGGAAATAACATAAATATTAATTGTAGTACAATTAGGARAATGCGTATGTGGCTATCCTACCGGGTGGATCTTTGATCTAGCACTCATTACATCTGCCATGGCAAGAGTTACCCATGATAGTCATAGGTACCTTTCTTTCCGTCATATGTATAAAAGAAAAGAAAATTAGAGTCAAGTTTTGAAGGTGAAAGTGCATTGGTAAGTTTCCATTTTAATGCTACTTTGTCTTCAGTAATACAAACTTTTAACATTCCATTACTAAAYATATGGCACCTGGAGAGTGTGTTTTAGAGAAATTTAGATCCATCTGATAATCAGAATTTCATTTTCTTACCTGCATCTTGAAGACTTCATTCACTAACCCATAGCAGGTACCAGCTAGATAAGATGTAGGATTGTAATACCGTGTGGTTATAACTAGAGTATGGCATACTTTGGCTTCTGTGTGTCTTTTGCCACCGTAGTGTAAATTGGAGATTAGAGAAGTGAGAAAAAGGTGTGTTTTGGTTCCACAGCTACTAGAACTATACCTGCGGGTGAGGAGTTTCTGATGATTTGTAAAAGTTTCAATTACATCTCTAGATAAAATAGGAGATATAATTAGTTGATAAATATTGGTTGTCATCTTGTAGARACAAGTTCCAGCAGCAGGTAGAAAAAATTGCTCCAGGTACCAAACTGCAGACAACAAATTTCATACATGTTAGGATCAAGGGACATAATAGTAACTGACAGCATGGAAAAATGAAGTATCCTTTCAAGTTTTCCTTATAGTTAGTTCTAAGCATTTTTTTAATACTGTTATGACACGTGTCATATTTTTTAAAAAAACACATGCTTTTTTTAGTATTGCCTACCTTTTTTTTTATAGGTAAAGCCCAAGAGGTAGAAAATGAATTGATAAAAAACCATCACATAGAGACAACACAGTTGCATAAAAAAATTGTTGAAAAAGATGAAGATCTGAAAAGAACTGTGAAAAAATATGAAGAAATCCTTGAGGTATCTTTTTGAAAAGCAATATGACTACATAAATTTTAGAAGAACTCTTTTTTGATTGTATATCTACAGATAAAACTGTTGTTCTTTTTAGTAAAGATCTGACTGCTTGAATTACATGTCATGTTTAAGCTTTTACTAGAGTTGTGGTGGTGGTGTTGCATTTTTGTAAGGGTTTAAGTACACTGTTTATGGAGTGCTSTGATTCTATCTCCTTTTTCTCATGCCCTGCTGAGATTGGTGCAATAGCCCTTAAAGTAAGGTTCTGTTCTATTTTGCATAGTTTTTATGCTATTTGAGTTTTCTTTTTTTGGTTGTAATRAACAGTTTTTCTGCATGATATTTGCAGATAGACATAATTTTGCTCTGGTAGTGTTTCAACCAGAAGTTAGCAGCCAATTTTGGTTTAAGGATACTTCACCAAGGATGTCACCTATTTCAGCCAAGTAAACTGTCCCAGTCCCGCCTATGTGGCTTGAAAAGATTAAATGGTTTTCAGCACTAGACTATACATCATATTGGAATGCAGGCTTTAACTGTGTTGATCTTAGCCCTGTTTGCACAAATAATGTAATAAAAGAGACTTTCTTTAGGGGTTTATCCAAATAATTACTCACAGGTATGTCCCTTTAACAGAAGTGTCATACATAATTTTGAGTTTTATTTCTTTTCAGCTTTTCAACTACCTTTTATAAATGAAAATGATGTGCATTCAATTGTGAAATCTTGAATTAAACAGTTGTGTAGAAATTGTAAAATTTTAGATTCCTGGTAGACAAAACCATGAAAAAATCCACAAAAGCTATTAAAAAAAAGCTACTAAAAATCCACAACTGCCACTATCCCTGAATATGCCAGGTACTGAGGATTTTTAACTAGAGGAGCATAGCAGTCAATAGATTGTTAATTAAAAAAATAAAATCTTAGAAACGATTAATCGTTGATGCACTTCTGAGGGCATAGAAGAATCACGTGAGTGTATAGAAGCTAACACTCTTTGGAGGTCATGATATTTGAGCAAGGTTTTCCTTGAGAGTGGCTATTCTTAAGACTTTTAGGCTGTAGGAATTGCTCAGATCCTGCAATTTCTCATTCGCTAGCTTTGTGGGCAGATTTACTTTGTTTCTTTTTGATAATGCCTTTTGATCAGAGCAGCTGCATGAGCAGGGTGTTTTATCATTAAGTCGTGCAAGGAGCACCTTAAAAACTGAGCTTAAAAGGAAATAGTTCTTTTTTTAGTAACAGCATCCTGGAAGTCTGTTAAGCATGAATTAGCTTTCTAGTTCTACACTTACTTTTCCAGAGAATGTTCTGTGTTATTAGAATTTGTACTCTGGAGATTTTTGAATGTAACAAAATTTCCATCAGCCATTCTGTACTTGTTATCAGTTAATGAATTGTATTAATTTGAAGTACTACTGTGTTAGCAGACCCATCAGTTGACTGCCTTGTGTGATTAGCATGAGTGAAACTAGAGTTTTAGCTTTGTTCAGCAGTGAAGACATGCACTAGGAATTGAAGTGCTTTTTTGTAAGGTCCCTAACAAATTCTCTCACAAAAAGGCCAGAGGGCACACAATTTTAAAAATACTTGTTTTTGCAAAGTGCCATAAACATGGATTATCCTCCTAGGATTTAGGTCATTGTATTTTTCTCCTATACAGGAAAAGTTAATTTCCTTCTTACCGTTCTTATTGCTGCTTCTTTCCTCCAAGTGCATAGTGACTTCTAAATCCTTGTGAACAATCGCTGCTCATTATTTTGGAAGATGTGCTTAAAACTGCTTTAGTTAGATCTTTGTGAGAATGACTGAGGAAAGGATTTAAGTCCTTGTCACTTCCATAGTATAGGAATTAATTCTGTGTCATCATCTGCCCCTTCCATGAAGGTTATGACCTTCACACACTTACTGGATTATAATTGAATGCTGTTTCAGTGCCCCAGAGAAATAGATCTTTTTTGWAATTTTTAAAAATGTAACTATATTCCTAACTGTGTAATCTTTATTGTTGGAGGCCTACAAAATCTTATTAAGCACCTATTTTTCTTCTTGGTCGATTCTGTCATCCTCCTGTGTAGCTCGCTCTTATACAAATTTCAAGCATATCTTTCTGTGTATAGTATAATGTTTGTTGATTGCTTCATATCCACCATAATTAAGATTTTGAGTAGTTACATGATTAATTGTATAAGTAATTTTTTTCTCTGTATTTTGAAGTCTCGTGAAGAAGAGATGACAGCAAAAGTTCATAAGTTGCAGGCACAGCTGGAAGACTTGCAAAAGGAATACAAACAAAGGATTGTAGAAGAGGAACATTGCAACAGTGAAAAAGTAAGCTGGCACTGATACTTGTTTTTATATCTTTAAGTGTGAAATTCTTGGTTCACATGAAATTCTGTGGTTTATTCCTAATTGTATTTTATTTATATATCTGGGCTTCACTTTCACATACAAAGTGAATAATCTCTTCAGAATCTGAAATATTTGATACTACCTTTCTTATTGGTATGCTAAGAACTCCAGTTCTCTTATTATTAAAGTGGGGCTTTTCACCCCCTGTATGTGTTTATGTTGATTTTACTGGAAGCCCCTTAGAAGGAAAGAAAATCCCATTAAGTTATTTTTATTTTAAAATTCACATTTCGGAGGTGTCCGAAGTAGTGCCTTGAATATATTGGTTATGGACAGAGAGGCCTTAATTGAAAGACAGAATTCATGGTTTTGTCTTTCTGAGACTACATTTCCATTTGAGGATTTCTTTGATGAAAATGCTACTAGCTGTTATTATATTGAGGGAAGGAAAAGTGTATGAGTTATTGAATCACTGATGAGAATTCATATTTACTTTACTTTTAAATGTTTCCTTTTGATAACAGGTAACCCTGGGGAGAGTAAATTTATATATTTGACATTAGAAGCTTAAAAGTACAAATTACCTAACTGTCCTAATGTTTGTCCCTTYTGCCTTGCACTTGCTTACAAAAGCCTTTCTATTACTTTTCTAAATTATTCCTCAGTATGTGTTGTTTTCATAACAGGAAAAGCAGAAATATTTGTGTATGACTGCCTTGTATTCTTAATTAACCCTTGTTCACCTACTGATAATCTTATGTAATCTTATTACCTAGAGGAAGATTTTTAAAGAGGTTCCTAATTCCTAAAATGTGGTTTTGAAAAGTCTGAAGAGTGCTTTCTTTCGGATTTTGTGAACTGTTTCACTACTTAGCTTGTTATAGCAGTATGCTATAAATACAGGTAGTAATTTAGTATTGTATTATGCATTCATCTTCTGGATCACTGATATAACATGAAAGTTACATCAAATTTATATACCAGCAATGGTATTTTATGTATTCATGTATTCAGCTCAGAAGCAATGGATCCTAAGAAGGAGGAAATTGGGCAAAAATGCCAGGAGGCCTCTATGGATGAATAAGGAGAGGCTGAGAAAACTCAGAGCAAAAAATATGCTTTCAGGAAGTGGAAACAAGGACATGTGGCCTGAGAGGAATACAGGGAAATTGTACAGGAAGCTAGGGACAAACTTAGGGAAGCCAAAGCCCAGTTAGAATTGTTCTGGCCAGGGATATTAAGGCAAACAGGATGGGCTTCTGTGGATACATTGCAAGTAAAAGGAAGATATACAGGGGTATTGTGGGCCCTCTCTAACAGGAAATGGAAAACCTGACTACCCTGGACAAAGAGAAGGCTGAGGTTCTCAATGACTCTGTGTCTCTGTCTTCAATGGCAAGTGCTCCAGCCACACTACCCAAGTCAAAGGCAGATGCAGGGACTCGGAGAAGGAAGACCCCGAACGCACTGCAGGAGAGGATCAGGTTTGAGACCATCTGATGAACCTGAACGTGCAGAAGTCCATGGGACCCAATGAGGTTCATCTGTGGATCCTGAGGGAGCTGAAGTTCCTGAGCCACTGTCCATCAGTTTTGAAAAATAGTGTCAATCAGGTGAAGTCTCTGATGACTGGAAAATGAGAATTAAAACCTCAATTTTTGAAAAGGAGAAAGTGGAATACCTGGGCATCTACAGCCTCACCTCTGTGCTAAGCAAAAATCATGGAGCAGATTCTACTGGAAACTATGCAAAGGAACATAGGGGAAAAAAAAAAAGAAAAAAGAGGTGGTTGGTAACAGCCACAATGGCTTTGCAAGGGGAAAATCATGCCTAACAAATTTGGTGACCTTCTATGATGGGACTACAGAATTGCTGAACAGGAGCAGAATAACTAATAACTGACATGGTCTACCTAGACTTAATGCAAAGTGTTTCACACTCCTGCACGATATCCTTGTCTCCAGCTTGGAGAGAMAGGAATTTGATGGATGGATCATTCAGTAGATAAAGAACTGTCTGGATGGCCACACACAGAGTTTTGGTCAATGGCTCATTGTCCACGTGGAGACCAGTTAGATGGTGAGGTTGCAGCAGTGATAGAGAAGGATGATCGCCTCTTTTGACTGACAGATGGTGATGCTGTGTTTGATGCGTTCGTGGGTTCTGTACTGGGGTGGATAATATTCTACATCTTTGTCAGTGACATGGACAATGGGACCTGTCGGTGTTGAGTGCACCGTCAGCAAGTCTATTGACAACACCAAGCTCTGTGGTGATGCAATCAACACAGAGGAGGGAAGGGATAATGCCATCCAGAGGGACCTCAACAGGCTTGAGAGGTGGGCTGATGCAAACCTCATGAAGATCAAAAAAGCAAAAGTGCAAGGTCCTGCAGGGTTGGGTCAATCCCAGACACACCAATGGGTTGGGGGAAGAAGTAGTTGAGAGCAGCCCTGAGGAGAAAGATTTAGGGGTGACAGGTGATGAAAAACTTGATGTGAGCCAGGAGTGTATGCTCACAGCCCAGAAAGCCAATCAAATCCTGGGCTGCATCACAAGAAGAGTAGCCAGCAGGTCAAAGGAGCTGATTCTGCCCCTCTACTCTTTTTGTGTAGTGGAGTGCTGTATTCAAATCTTGTGTCCCCAACATAAGGAGAACATGGAGCTGTTGGAACAAGTCCAGAGGAGGGCTGCAAAGTTCATAAGAGAGCTGGAGCAACCTCTGCTGTGAACACAGGTTGTGAAAGGCTGTTCAGCCGGGAGAAGAGAAGGTTGCATGGAGACCTCATGGAAAACTTCCAGTATCTGAAGGGGGCCTACAGGAAAGCTGGAGAGGGACTTTTCATCAGGAACTGTAGTGATAGGACGAGGATACAAATTAGACATTGGGAAGGAATTTTTCACTTTGAGGGTAGTGAGACACTGAACAGGTTGCCCAGGGAGGTTGTGGATGCCCCAACCCTGACAATGTTCAATGTCAGGTTGAATAAGGCATTAAGCAACCTGGTCTGCTGGGAGATGTCCCTGCCTATGGCAGGGACTGTTGAGACTAGATGATCTTTAGAGTCCATTCCAACCTGTTTGCATTCCATGATTCTATGATTCCTCAGTTCATCCCAGAAGTGTATCAGACAGATTGACAATGGTAGCATAGAGTTGCAAGTATTTAAATGTTGCAAATATTAAATCTCTGTATAAAAGTGAATATGTTTACAATAAACAAAATGGACAGCTGGTTTTGCCTGTGTCTGGAATGTTGTCTACAGCTTTAAACTCCTTGGGGTTTCCATGGCAGACTTTGGTGAAACTCAAAGGACTTATTCCATCTGTGGCAGATGTAAACCAGTTCAGAGAAATCTACTGCTGGTAAACATCTCGGTTTTAAAGGATGAAAGGTGTCTCATGTGTGGAGGATGAGGACCAGGTTCTGTGGTAGTACACATCCCTAGACACAGTTAAAAACATCCCAGTCAAAGTAGCTGCAGAGCAAGAATGCATTTTTTTCCTGAGTATAAGGAGATTAAATATCAGTGATTAGTGATTAAATATCAAACTTTCTTAGGTAATTTTGAGAATTCTAACTGAATTCAAATTTAGCAAATTGTTCACAAGCATTCTTTTACATAGCTGATTCAACTGAATATAAATGCCTTATTTCATACTATTCAGAATGGTGAATTAATCTCAAAACAACATAACTATTCTAATAGATTATGCTGTGGAATGTGCACGTAATTCATGGTATGTCTTCTGATCCACTCAAAGCTCAAATATTTAGAGTGGTGTAAGTGGGCTTTCAGTTCCTGTCTTATCAGTATTTCAGGATTTGCTTCTTACTCTGATGCAGTCTGTTCTAGAGTCAAGAGGTAGTTTTCTCTTATCCTTAGAAATTAAGAGTTGTTTTTAATTTTTACCCTATTTCAGTTTGTCTGTTGCCTATCCTTTGTATATCTATAGGAAACTAATTTTGCTGTTACTTGGTACCATAGTGCATTATTTGCAACAGCTGCAATATCATATATATGCAGCATTACAGAGCTATGTAGAAAATTGGATAGGGCCTGTGGAACTTGTCAACATACCAGCATCTGCATTTTACAATGCATTCAAATAAATTATATTTGCCATGGGTTTTTTTTTGTCTCACTTTATTTCTTTTTTATTTTGTTGTTTTGCAACATTTTTCTCTTTTGGTATTGTTTTTTTTTTTATCCTTAGCACTAGTAGTCAAACAGTTCAAAAGTATTACATTGACCGGACACAACCTTTTGTGGGCAACATTTTTTGTCAAAATTGGAGACTGCCAAATTACAGAAGTTTGTCTTATAAAACTTTCTATTCTACTTGTTGTCAGCCTAGACTAAACACTAAACATGATGTATCCACTTTGACATGAAGTGTACCCTAAGTGTTGGAACAGTATTTGTCTGACTGTAATAAAAAATTGACAAATACTAACAACCTTAAATGTTAACACTTGGAGGTAAATATATCAGAAATGTCTCTCCATATGAGAAAATAAATGTCTGATTAAGCTTTTCAGAAGCAAGAATTGCACTTAGAGGTTTCAGATTGTTAGAGCAATGATTTTCCCCTTTTCTGTTTGTGGAGTGTAGGAAAACCCGCAGGTTTTATCAAACTGAGATGGGGAATGAATCTCCTTTTCAACACAAATACAAAGAGGCTTGGGAAGAAAAAAGTAATATTGACCCTGAGATCAGCTCAGTTGGATAGAGCATGGTGCTAATGATGCCAGAATCATGGGTTTGGTCTCTGTATGGGCCTGTCACTTTAAGAGTTGAACTCTGTGATCCTTGAGGGTCCCTTCCAACTTAGAATATTCTGTGATTCTGTGAATAAGTACCATTTCTGTGTTAAGGTTTGGCTTACCTTAAAAAAATTCACACATAAATTATTTGATGCTCAAATGCTTTTACAACCTTGAGTTATACCCATGACTACTAAAGCATTATTTTCCTTAGAGTTTGGACATTGAAAGATAGAAATTTCAGCTTGGAATTTTATCTGTACTTCAGAAATATCTTTGCAAGATCTTAAGTTCTTAAGTTCTTAACTGATGCTATTGTCAGGTAAATGTTCACATTTCCAAATGTGACTTGAGGAATTAAGAATATTCTGAATAGTACTAATAGTAGTTAGGGTATCATGTGATGTATTTCATACTCATTCAGTTATTATTCAGCTCCAATGTGCATTTCATAAGGATCTGGAAACACTAGGTTTTGAAGTTATATTTATGATAATTGTCTTGTAGAATCAAACGAGATGATTTAAATATAAGCTTTACATGCTGTCAATCCAGATAAGTTAAACTATTTATGAGACTAGTTATCATTATTTGGTAATTTCAATTTTTGTCATCCTYGGTTAACACACTGTATCAAAACTAGATGATTGGTATTTCTTTCTCCAGTGCTTGATAGAGTCAGTATTTTTCATACGTTTTAATCGAAATTTTTGTTGTTGTTATAGGTCACAATAACAGAACTAAAGGTAAGTGTTACATGTTATTGATTTTGCTCTCTAGTACTTCTGTTGTGGAGCAGTTTTAGAGCTGAAATTTGCTTATAAGTTTGTGTATGTTAAAAAGAGAAATAGATTTATTGCAGAGATACCTGTGATGTATTTTCAGCAGCTTCTTGATGACTTCCATATGTGTCTCTTTTCAGGCGCAGCTTGCACAGAAGACAACACTAATCAATGATTCAAAACTGAAGGAGCAGGAATTGAAAGAGAAGGTAAGGGTGATGTTGAACAAGTATACTCTGTGTATGCAGTATTAAAAGTTTTGTTCTTTTTAAGTGATGATACCTCTCCATGCAAGGTATTGTGAATATAATAGACAAAAAATTAGTTTTCACTCACACTTGCTCTCAGAAGATCTGTGTACTTTTCAAAGTATGCTGCTATCCCTGAGAATAAAAATACCACATGCTTGTGATACTGGTTAGCAAAGCAATTGGACTGTGAAAAAGGGGGCAGTGCACTTTATGAAATTCTAGATATTTTTTTAAAAACTAAAACTTTTTTGATGCGTAAATATAATTTTTGTGGTGTGCTTTTTTTATGTGTGCTTATATATAAAATAGAAACATGAATATATAAGACATACATACATCTGCTATAGATACTTCTATGTGTATATACAATGTACAATATTGGGACAGTTTTTAATAACACCGTTTTTAATGTTTTCCTTCCTTTCAAAGCAAATGTATTTTGCTATTATGAGAGACGATACTTAGCTGGAAATGTTTTCAATTATGCTTATTTTAGCTGCTAGTGATCATCATTTATCATTATAACTGTTCTCTATTTAGATTCATGTACTGGAAGACCAGGTGAGACAGTACGAGAAAAATAAGTATGTCACATCAATTGGAACACCATATAGAGGTAAGAACACAGTTTTCATCACAAAGAAGCTTTTCGTTTGTTTGAAAGATACACTTTGGTCTAGAAAATTCGTTAAAATGTCAATCTCTTTAAAACACGTCTTTGTTTTTTCTTGGCTATTATAATAGAGTTAGTGTGTGATTTCAGATGAGCAAATCACAAAGTATTTTGTTTGTTTTCTTTTTTATGTCATCTAGTTAAAAGAGCYCTGTATCAGAGTTCTTAAGCTCTCTGCAGTGCGGGATCCATGATCATCCAGTAGATAGGGGAAGAGATGGGCACACCACAGCAGGGCTCAGGCAGGGACTGAAGGTTCCAGGCTGAGCCGGGACACATCCCTTGGGTTCTTGGCAAGAGATGGCGTGGGTGGAGGTCCCAGGGGAGGCCAATCTCAACCACTGAGGCCTGTGAGCAGCACCAGGATCAGATAAAAGTAGATGTAGACTTGTATTGCTCATGTGCTGTCCGTTAGAACTGGTGGCTGGACACCTTGGAGATAGAGTATGGGCCAATGGATCTTCTCTTTGGTAATGTACTTTTCCTCTCAGGCTCTTTTATTTTAACATAAGATAGAAAAAATCACAGGGAAATGAAGAGATTGCTCAGCTCCAAAAGATTTGCAACTGTTCAGTTGGGAAGTACATCCTGCATGAGACACGGCTCAAGCATTGAGTCTCACTAATGTCAGAAATGTAGGATTTTGTCATCCTATGCAGACCCATCTTAGCTGGATGAATTCGACTTTAAGAAACTACATCACACTTGCGTTTTGCAAATTTGTGCAAATGGTCAAATTATCTCAGGATGATCTACATCTCTCGTCCCCCTCAGGAGGTCCATGCCTCCTTCCCTCAAGGTGACAGAGCCAAGGWCAGGAGATGGGTCATGGGTATTCAGTGCCTTCTGCTGGTGCAGGGCAGGGAGAAAATGTCATCAAAGATTTCCTCAGCGTAGCGAAAGAAGCAGGTAAAAGAAAAGCATAGCATACTTTGGCTGGAAGGGACCAAAATCAGTTTTATCRTCAGTCCTGTGGTCCAGTTTTGTGGTCCCTGACCACCTCAGGGCTGACAAAAGGTAAAGCATGACTTTAAGGGCACTGTCCATATGCATCTTCAACACTGACAAACATGAGGCATCAACCACCTCTTCAAGAGGTCTGTTCCAGAGTTTGACACCCTCTCAGTAAAGAAATGTTTCCTCTTGTCAAGTCTGAACTCCACATGATGGATGCTTGTTTCAACCATTTTCTGTGTGTCCTGCCACTGGGTACCTAGGAGAAGAGAGCAGCACCTGCCTCTCAGCTTCTCCTCAGAAAGGCATAGACAGCATTGAAGTCACCCTTCAGCCTCCATCTCTCCAAATTAGACAAACTCAGATTCCTTAGCTGTTTCTCAGAGGACATGCCTGCCAGCACCTTAGCCACAAGCAGAGGTGCCCTCCTCTGGATGTGTTCATGTACCTTGCCATCCTTTTTAAATGGTGGGGCCCAAAACTGCACACAGTACTCAAGGTGAGGCTGCACCAGTGCTAAATAGGGTGGGATAATAATCTCTTTTGACTGACTGATAATGCTGTGTTTGATGCCTTTCAGCAAGCAGTTTGCCCTCCTGGCTGCCAAGGGCACACACACTGCTGCCTCCTGTTGCATCTCCTGCTAGCCAGAACCCCCAAATGCCTTTCTGCAGGGCTGCAGTTACTCCTTCCTAGGTGCAGAATCCACCATTTATTCTTGTTTGGTTTCCTGCCATTAGTGAAACTTGGATTTGAAGGAGTGACTCTCAATACAAATATTCTGKTTTTTTTGTTTACACAGATGGAAACCTTCACCATCCTGATGTTTCCCTGTTTGAGGAACCTACTGAGTTTGAATACTTGAGGAAAGTGCTCTTTGAATATATGATGGGTCGTGAGACAAAGGTATGGAAATTKGAATATGGCAACAGGTGATTCAGATTAAACTTTAACACGCTTGCTGTATAAATGTGAAGTACCATGTGTTTGTACATGTATGAGTTTGTGTTTTGTTATATGCTGTTTATTACTGACACAGGATTCAATAGGCTTTCATTTTTTTCCAAAGAGGCATGATCCATAACTTCAAAACTTTGTCAGCCTGCCAAGATGAGTGGTAAGTGGAGGGGGTTTTCACATCTCTCACCACTGTACTTACCAAGACAAAAACCTTTATGGGTAGCTATGGTTTTTATCAGCAAAAGTCCTGTTATCAGTCAAGCTTAATGTAAAGTGAAAGCTAGTATGCACAGTATTAACAGCAGTGATCTTTTGATGTAATCTTGACACAAACATGGTAAGTAAGAATTGGATTAAGTAACAGTTTGTTAGTAGCTTTGAAGATGATGAAATACCTCTTCAGTTGTTGAAAATGTTTCATAGTATTCCCAAATCTGTATACCTTCAATAGTATTAATTCACTCTTAAAAGTAGCGAAAAGCTGGACAGTAGGCTTCTTGTAAGCTGCAGGCTTGTGAAATCATTCCTGAGTTGGAATTTTACTAGCTTCTTGCAATACAGGTACTTAGGGACTGACCGCAGTCAAAACAGGTATGTTGTAACACAAACATTTTTCTTGGATGGTAAATTCTGTGTGGATGAACTTTTGTATTTGTTTTTTTCCTCCTCCTTGGAGTTCTTCCATTGTTGACCTTCTTTCAGTTTAGGAATACTATAAAGCAAAGAGGTTTTATGTAGGTTTCTGTTTTAATTATC